ATCATTACCTGTGAAATGTCAGGGACGTTGCTGAATAAGTATACTGGAGAGTAACAGCATCATCACGCAGCATGTTATTGTTTTAGACAGGTCTGAGCATCCTGTACTCCAAAAACTGCAGTGATATTAGACAATTGTGTGTGTAGGATTAATTACCTGTCCAAGAGAAAACTGGTAACTTGAGCGTCACTTTGAAAACCTTTTTCCTCCATCAGTGACTTCCATCGTGTAAATGCCGTGCCAATGTTGATCTGTGTTTTTTGTTGTTTCTTGTCACGCTTGCGTTTATTCTCGTCGTGTTTCCGCTTCTTAGATGACGGGGGTTCGGTGTCCGCCGCTTTTCGTTGTGATACAGAGTAGGCATGATCCTCCATTCGTCTGATGTTTGGCCACACAGTGCCAAACAGTTTGCAAAGTCACTCACGCCTGCCGCCTTGTTCACCTTTCTTGTTACTGAAGCGCAGTATACCTGCTTCTTCTTCTTCTTTGGTTTCAGGCAGACTAAACGCTTCTCAGGCATAATACTGCCATCTACTGTTCAGTACCGTCTCAGTTAATCTCTCTCAACTTGCCGTAGTTATTTTCGAGCGTAATGGGAGATCTCGCAATCGCTAGTTTGTTGCCTCTGCGCTTGCCGTAACGCAAAGATGTCTGGCTCCATGGCTGCGAGACCCGCTCCTATGTAATTATAAATAACGAATTCTAAGGCAACGCAAATATTAAGGTTAAGAGGCTGAGCTCATAGGTGATGATAAATAACATAGTTATGTATAATATATTAAATTTCTGACTTTATATCCCTGTAATTATTACACACTGTAGCTTTAAAAAAAAAAAAAACACTAATTTGGACTTGATCCAATTCAAACTACCACATATGGACATCTCTAGTATGGACAACATCCTGCAGTTGTTAAAAAACAATGTAATACATAAATATTGCTCTTATCCACTGGTAATGAATTATTGCTGTGATCTCTACAAATGTTAAGCTTGATTTATAACTCATTAAAATGTTTATTAAAGTAGCAACTCATTCTCAGTTTCAGCCAGTGTTGCTTGTGCCACACATCTCCTTTGGTCAATGGGCTTATGTGTCATCGTTGCATGTGTCATAAAGGACAGGAGCAAAGGGGAATCTATCGCTATGTCGGTCAGTCTGCAGCTGTGGTTGAGCTCATACAAATTGAAAAGACTGTTATTTCAAAAGTTTTGCATCGAAGAGTGACTCATACACCCAACAGGATGGCTTAAGAAAATAGTTTTCTTTAATTACAGGATTAATCTTTTTAGATATCATTCAGCTCATTTAAATGTTCTATCTTATAAAAATGACGCTTGTCAGTGTTATTGTGTGGTTTTATGTAATGACAATATTTGTAACTGTTCATTGAATTTTTTTGTTGTGACTCAACTGGTGAAATGACTCATCACAGAGGTCATTGTGATCTTTATAATATTTCCTTCTGGTTGTTTAATGAATGAGACTATGACAACAAAAATAAACTGTCGAGAGGAATTAAAACCTGCTTTTACGGCATGTCAAGCCAAATTTCTGTCTGCAGCATTAGACGTGTGGCCAAGGGCTTTGCATTTTACTTTCATTCAACATAATAAACCAATTTAAGATTAACTGTGCAGAGTTACAACTCTATAAAGGACCTGCTTTTCAAATTGTATTCACAGAATTATTTGGCTCAGCCCAGTTCTGTAAAGTTTGTCTAGAAAAAATTTGTTTGTCTAGATTTGTCATTTGTAATGGCGTTATTTAAAGCATTTCACCCGGTACAGCGCTTAGAGTGATTGCTTTGATGGAGACGGGTTACATAACTTCACTGTATAGATTTGTCAGGGTTTTAATAGAGCAATTAGAAGCAAAGCACTGGGTGTGTGTCGTGCTTACATACTTCATCTGGCGGTGTTTTAAATCCTCCCACACTTGTTTTGCATTCTGCACTCCTCTGGCTGTGTTAATCATATGCAAAAACATTTGCACATTTGCTGAACATTCAATATACAGCACCTCTTCTCTTGTCTGTATGTCTACTCATGCACAGGCCTTACAAAAAATATATTGAATCAGCAAATGTTGGCGTTATTTTACAGTTCAAGTAAGCTTTAAATGTTAAGATGTTGACCTTTCATGTGGTTGTTTGGCAGCATTTTTCTTTTGCTGTCTCTTTAATTTACAGTGCCCTCCACAATTATTGCCACCCCTGTGACCCCTAATGTGGTCAAGGACTTCTAAAGATTTTCCTTTTATTTTAAACAACATTGAACCTGAATGCAAAAAAGAAAAACAAATCCAACCTTTTATTTAAGTTAATTACTTTGTTGGTAAATAAAATTACATGTTAAGAAGAAAAAAAAACATGAAATCATGTCTCCCAATTATTGCACCCCTGATGTTAAAACTTTGTACAATCCCCTCTTGCCAAAAAGAAAGCACTTAATCTTCTAGAACATTTCACAAGACTGGAGGACACAGAGAGAAGGATCTTTGAGCATGCTTCTTTGCACAATCTTTCTATATTATCCAGTGTCCAGGTCCTCTCTTAATGGACTCTCCTCTTAAGCTCACCCCTGTGTTTGAGGTCTGGGGACTGAGATGGCCAAGGGATGACCTTGAGTTTGTGACTGCTGAACCATTTTTGCATAGATTTTGCCACATGCTTTGGATCATTAACCTGCTGAAAGACCCAGTGACAATCCATCTTCAGCTTTCTGGCAGAGGCCATCAGGTTTTCATTCAAAAATTCCTAGTATTTCAAGGTTCCCAGGGCCTTTGGAAGAGAAACAGACTGACAGCATCACAGATCTTCCACCATACTTCACAGTGGTCATGAGGTACTTTTGGGCATACTCATGTTTTGATGTTTTGTTTTACGCTAGACCCACTTGGACTGTTTGTTCCCAAAAAGCTTGCCCCCCACCCACCCTCAAGACCACTAAGGGTAAATTATGGCACTGGGTGTAACACAAAAGTCAGGAACCTAAAATATGTCAGTAGAAAAATATTATTTATTTCATAATTTTGCAGGAGTTCACAAATACAGCAGACAGAAAAACACATGGAAGCTTTAAGCCTCAGGGTCTCCAAGGCCAAAACAACAAACATGACACCCCCTTATATAGTTATAAAATAAACCACTTTCTTTCGGAGAACTGAAAAGAAAGCACAATACCTGAAGTCCCTGACTAACCATGAAACAAGGAGAAAACAGTTAAACAAAAATGGCAGAGAACCCCTACCAGCTTCAATTATTCAACATGAATCACACATTGACACTCAGCTCACGGACAAAATCAAGGCCCAGGGAATAAGAGAAAGGGGCCTGACATCTCAGGTTTGAAGCTCTTTATGGGGGGGCTGACAAGCTTCAACACATTGCACCTGTAACAACCAGGTATACCTGAAACACAAAGAGAGCGCTCTCTCATGAAGAGAGCCCCTAAAGGTCAGTGACCATAACACTTAGTCTCATCTGACCTAACCAAACAATCCCAGTTAAAATCCCAATGCCGCTTAGCAAACTCCAAACGTTTGCGCTTGCGATCGTTGTGACCAAAGGGTTTTCCTTGCATGCCTCCCAAACAGCTTGTTGGCATGTAGAGAGCATCTGTTGGTTTGTTTTGGAGACTTTGTGACCCCAACTTCCACTCTTTGATGCAATTCTGTGACAGTGGGCTTGGGACTGTTTTTTTTCCTCTTCTCTTACCATCCTCCTCACTGTGCATTATGGCATCATAAACTTGGGACAGCTTCTAGCCTTGTTTGTCACTGATCCAATTGTTTTTAACTTCTTAACGATTACTCTGACTGTTGATATGGGCAAGTTAAGGCGAGTGGCTATTTTCTTGTAACCACTGCCTGTATTATGAGGGATTATGAGGGACACATCTGCCTTACTTAAATGGTTTATTGTCTTGTCTTTGCCATGTTGACAAATGGGTAAGATAATTAGGCCTCTGTGTCACATCATATGTATACCCCAGGGAAACAGAGAGTCATGAATTACTTATTAAAAGTTCCTAGATACCCTCAGCTTGTACACCTAAATTCGGCCAATCATATATCAACGGTCATCTGTCAATCAAATTTTTTCAATCATAGCATCTTGATTCATATGTCACGGCTAATATATGCAACGGTTGAAATAAGAAATAAGAATCCTTTCCTTTACCATTGAGTTCCGTCCCAGTGTTCATGGGGATGGACATCTGTGTCTTCAGCAGGCGTAGAATAACAAAACTGGCAGCAGTGCAAGGCAAGGGCTCAAACATGTACGGCTGTAAGCCTTCTACACCAAACCAAGCTTCTGCCGCCATCACGTTCTCTTCCACAACAACTTCATCCTTCATCGGTGACCTCCGACACAAACCTCTCCTCCTCTTGCATGTTTCCACTGTCCATAGCGTTCCTTGACAGTGTCGTTGACAAGGGCTACTGTACTTGGCCCCAATGTAATTTCCCATTGGGAACCTACTAGAACTAAGTTGCTAACTGGTTAGCAAGATGCTTCCGACAAACCGGCCACAACCAAACCTGCTTGCGAACCTTCCGCCACAACAATCCCACCCCCTTGATAATCAACCAAACACATTCACTTTAATCACTTGTGTAAAGTCGGGCACCACGCAGGAGAATTTGGAACTGCAACCATTGGAACTGCCGTTTGCCTACGATTTTTAAGGAAATCAATAATTCAATTTACACCGGAATTGTTAGGGGTGCCAATAATTTAAATGTGGGACACATTATTTCATTTATTTTATTATTTTTTTTTTTTATAAAGGTGTGTTTGTATTTTTACCACCAAAGTAATGTACTTAAATAAAAGGTTGGATTTTTTTTCTCTTTCTTTTACATTTGGGTTCTTTTTTGTAAAGGAGAATATTTGGAAGCCCTTGATCTGATCTTAAACAGCAGTGCCAATAATTGTGGAAGGCACTGTATCTTTATATTAATCTCTCTTCATGTATTTATCAAAATGCTGCAGAATGGATGATGCAGAGGCTTGTTTCATCCTGAGCAGTCGTAATGAGGTTGATCGCATGGCAGCGGTAAGGTTAATGAGAATCTGCTCTGCTTTGTTTTTTTTATCATTTGAAATTAATTGTTTGATTTATTTATTTTTTTATCACAGCCGCCTGTCTTTAACAAATTTGCAATATTTCCTTATAGGACCATCAGACCATCTTGAGAGCTTGGGCTGTAAAAGACTTTGCTCCAAACTGTCCTCTTTATGTCCAGATACTCAAACCGGAAAATAAGTTTCATGTTAAATTTGCAGGTGAGACTGATAAACTATGTGGTTATATGTGGTCTTGAATTATTTTTACATGCAAGGGTGGCATGCATTTCATCTGTATACTTGTATGTCCATAAATAATGTTGTGCACTCAGTGTTATGTTCGTGGGTGTTCTAGTTTTTGTTTTCAGATGTGTTCTCAATACCTCATTTTTGTTTAAATAATGCATTGCCATATATTAATTTCATTCTTTTTTTCCATTATTGTTAGCCTACTGCTGCCATATAGGTTAATTCCTTTATTTTTTATGTATTTTCAGGTTCAGTTATTATTAAGCCCATATTAAGCCCTTGTTTTATAGTTTCATTTTTGTCTAGTTTATTTCTTCTCTATGTTGATTGTCCACCTTTCCTTAGCTATCCTGTTCTCCTTTCTTCCACAGCTGTTTCAACCCACCTTTTGGTTGCTCAGCTGCATCCATTCTTCACCCTTTCCTCTGTATTTAAGCTCTCTCGTTGTCTCTTTCCATTACTGGTTCTTCCTGTTACCCTGCCTGTACGTCATGTCCTGCCCTTCCTGTCATTTTCCCTGTAAGTTCTTCTTGTTATTGTATTATTATCACCCGGCTTTTTACCACAGCCAGTCTCTGTGATCAGGTCCTTTACAAACCACATCATGACAATCAGAGGTTACCTAATTTCTAAATACATTCAATGTTTTTTTTGGAAGGATCTTTAAGTCGGTAGTTAGTTTTCTAATAGATATATTTTACCCTTAATAATTTTGGTGTGAAAATCATATGTAATCTAAGTTGTCAAAGAAAGCAAAAGAGAAGTTTGAAATCCTCAAAAGGAGCTGCAGTTTTTAATCTGTATTATTTAAACTTTGTTTTAGGTTGTTCCTCCATACATTATTAGTCTGACCGAATTAAGATATGTTTTTCTACATATTGCATATGGTATAACAGGACTTCTTCTAGTATTATTTCAACAAGACCTGCTACTTGCCATTCTTCTATAAAGACCAAATATATGTAGTACACTAATACACTAATAGTTGCTCTGTCAACTATGCATTTACTGAATTTGTGACATACACTATATTGCCAAAAGTATTTGCTCACCCATCCAAATTATTGGAATCAGGTGTTCCAATCACTTCCATGGCCACAGGTGTATAAATTCAAGCACCTAGGCATGCAGACTGTTTTTACAAACATTTGTGAAAGAATGGGTCGCTCTCAGGAGCTCAGTGAATTCCAGCGTGGAACTGTGATAGGATGCCACCTGTGCAACAAATCCAGTCGTGAAATTTCCTCGCTCCTAAATATTCCACAGTCAACTGTCAGCTGTATTATAAGAAAATGGAAGTGTTTGGGAACGACAGCAACTCAGCCACGAAGTGGTAGGCCACGTAAACTGACGGAGCGGGGTCAGCGGATGCTGACGCGCATAGTGCGAAGAGGTCGCCAACTTTCTGCAGAGTCAATCACTACAGACCTCCAAACTTCATGTGGCCTTCAGATTAGCTCAAGAACAGTGCGCAGAGAGCTTCATGGAATGGGTTTCCATGGTCGAGCAGCTGCATCCAAGCCATACATCACCAAGTGCAATGCAAAGCGTCGGATGCGGTGGTGTAAAGCACGCCGCCACTGGACTCTAGAGCAGTGGAGACGCGTTCTCTGGAGTGACGAATCGCGCTTCTCCATCTGGCAATCTGATGGACGGGTCTGGGTTTGGCGGTTGCCAGGAGAACGGTACTTGTCTGACTGCATTGTGCCAAGTGTAAAGTTTGGTGGAGGGGGGATTATGGTGTGGGGTTGTTTTTCAGGAGCTGGGCTTGGCCCCTTAGTTCCAGTGAAAGGAACTCTGAATGCTTCAGCATACCAAGACATTTTGGACAATTCCATGCTCCCAACTTTGTGGGAACAGTTTGGAGCTGGCCCCTTCCTCTTCCAACATGACTGTGCACCAGTGCACAAAGCAAGGTCCATAAAGACATGGATGACAGAGTCTGGTGTGGATGAACTTGACTGGCCTGCACAGAGTCCTGACCTCAACCCGATAGAACACCTTTGGGATGAATTAGAGCGGAGACTGAGAGCCAGGCCTTCTCGTCCAACATCAGTGTGCGACCTCACAAATGCGCTTCTGGAAGAATGGTCAAAAATTCCCATAAACACACTCCTAAACCTTGTGGACAGCCTTCCCAGAAGAGTTGAAGCTGTTCTAGCTGCAAAGGGTGGACCGACGTCATATTGAACCCTATGGATTAGGAACGGGATGTCACTTAAGCTCATATGTGAGTCAAGGCAGGTGAGCAAATACTTTTGGCAATATAGTGTATGTGGGAAAGTTCAAGGGGTTTAAATAATTACACATGTGACTGTTTATCTTGAATAAGAAATTACAATATTTACAAAGTTCTTTTTATCTACTTATATCTCTGTTGTTCACTGTTGTTTCACTCCTACATGTTCGAATTTCAGATCAGGTTGTGTGCGAGGAGGAGTTCAAGTATGCTATGTTGGCTCTCAACTGTGTGTGCCCTGCCACTTCCACCTTGGTCACGCTCCTGGTGCACACCTCCCGTGGACGGTCAGTCATCCCAGATCACCTCCCAAGGCCATTCATTTCTCCCTTGTGTGACTGAAAAGTTCAACTTCTTCACATGTCTACTGCTATTTCTAAAAAGCTCCAAGGAGCTTAGCAAAAGCAAGAGCACAGAAGAGAAATGTGGGTTATTGTGGAGCACAGCAGGGCATGAAAGGAATTTTACAAGCAAGCATTTTAAATGGATTTTTTTTTTTTTTTGCCTTTCTTTGGTTTTGTTGTGTTTTTGTTTTTTCCCTTTCAAGCTGGAAAGCAGTTTTCAAAAGCTGTCGGCTGGCAAATTATTTTTCACAGCATTTAAACTGGCAGCTAAAGTATGTCATTGGCTGATGCAGTCTGTCCTCAGAGATATCGATAAACCTAAATCTTAAATAAAAGGCTTCTCCTTTGCACATATAGACGTTAATTACAAAGACATTTTTCCTTTAATACAAATTAAATTGACTTGTAGACTATTAAAGGACACTGGCAGAAAGAGAAGGGGTTTTGAGTGTAAAAACGCATTTCCCCCTTCCTTGATTTCCTGTTTTGGACTTTATGTGGGGTTGATGCCAATTCTAAAACAGAGTAACTGACTACTTTAAGTTAGGCATGTGATACTATCTTTAATATTGGGTTGATTCAGTTTAAAGGTCCCATATTATTCTACATTTGAAAATGGAAAATATTAACTAGGCCCCCAGATCATGTTTTAGCCATTCGTCTAGGAAAATTTCCCAAACCTACGAAAAATCCTCTTATTCAGCCCTCCTCTGGATGAGATGTTTTCGCTTTTCACGTCCTTCCAAAGTTAGCGCCCCCACCTCCCGCAACCATGATAACCAGTCAGAGTTTATAAAGATAGCCTAGGAGCAGGAATAATACATTAGGCAAAGGCTGTAGCTTGACCTATGGGCCTCTAGAGATCGTTCTGGACAGCTTATTTCCCATTATGACATCATAAAGGGAATGATTTTAAAACCAAGCATTTTGAGCACACATTAGCTAAGAGGCGGAGAAAGGCAGTGATTTATTATTTATTTATTATTTAGTTTTATTTTTTTTATTTGTGAATCTCATACACAGGCTTCAGAACACAAATGACTAAGACTGAAACAATTAATCGGAATAATTATGATTAATCAATTATTCAATTAATCGTCAACTAAGTTAGTAAAAGATTAAATCATTAAATGTAGTATAGAGACTCTAAAACATGCCTTTAGCTGATGGAGCAACCCACTTAAAGCAGTAATTATACCAAGATTGTTAAGAAATATATAAACATTTTGCATTTAATGTGAAAAAACTTTTTTGTCTGACAATGTGCTTTATTCAGAACTTCTCAAAAGGAAATGTTTTAGTTTCACCTGGTTTAATTTAGTAAAAAACTTCTTTAAGGAACTTTTGGCTATCTGATTATCAATCCATTAATTGAAAAAATAATCAACAGATTAATCGATTTGCAAAAAATATCATTAGTTGCAGCCCTACATTTTGATTGTTACAAAATGTTTATAAGGTGAATTTTGCATAATGTGGGACCTTTAAAGGTGATTTATTTTATGAGGACTTACAACAAAGGGACAACTGCACCGAATGCATTCACTTTTAGCCAATGGAAGTTATTATAGGTCTTTGACTACTCATTTAAAAGCTATTTTAGAGGAACACCAGCTGACTAACATAGATGGACAAATCTTAGATCTTTAAAAAGTAAACCTAGTGTGCATAAAGAGAGTTTGGAGAATTAGAGATCAGAGTTTTCACTTGGTTATTGATCTTTTCCTTTTCTTAAAAGTAGATCCTTGGGTAAAATCATGTTTTTTTTAATTTTCCTATGTTAGATTCAAAAGATATTTGGCTTATGGATTAAATCGTATTCTCTCTGAATCAATTGCAGAGAAGGACAGCAGTCTCCAGAGCAGTGGCAGAGGATGTATGGATGTTGCTCTGGCAACGAGGTCTACCACATCAGACTGTGTGACAGCAAGTTCTTTGGAGAGTATAATGGCAAAAGCTTTACCTACGCCTCCTTTCATGCTCACAAGAAGTGAGTTGACACGTAAGCTAAAATATCTTCATCTGAGGCTGGCAAGTTGAAATTTTAGATATTTTGTTTGCTTTAATTATTTCTTTAATTTTTTTCTTATTATACATAAAAGGGACTACATTTAAATCCCCCTTAAAGTGTATCATTAAAATCAAAGCAATTTCTGAACAATTTGGCTTCAATGGTAGGATACCACCATGTGTCAGCAGGAAGATCAAATGATATGAAGGGTGTGAAAGTATACATTATATATGTAAGAGCAAAACTTGTCAAGATTTTATTTACTCCACCCGGGTGATAAAAATCAAGATTCATTAGCACATTAAGGAAGGCTTTGCTTTAGGCTTATATTGCAACCAGTTAAGACAATCAAAAGTAATTTGCCCAATATTTCTCAACACTGTAGGTGTCATCGTAAACTATTTAACAGCTGTACAAACTATGTTTTAGCTGTAGCAATGCATGCTAACATTGGGTATGTCTTCTCCAGATATGGTGTCTGTCTCATTGGTATAAAGAGGGAGGAAAACAAAAGCATTCTGCTGAACCCTGGTCCACACCACATCATGGCTGCCACAGATACCTGCTACTACATCAACATCACCAAAGAGGAGAACTCAGCTTTCATCTTCAACCAGGAGGAGAGAAAAGGACGTCCTGTCGGAGGAATCTACGATGGGCCCTCACAGCTTCCTGTGCACAGCATCATTGCAAGCATGGGTGAAAGAGACTCACATCATGCTGGATGTTTTAGGTCACAACAGATAAACAGTTTGATAGGTTAAGATAATCCATGCAGTGATGTCTGAGACAGAATGGTTGTGTTTGCAGGTACTGTGGCCATTGATCTTCAAAATGCAAGTCCACCCACCATGTCAGGGGGCAAACTGGTCCCATCTGCTGTAAATGGTACTGGCAGCCGCCGACCCAGTATTGCTCCAGTCCAAGAAATTGCTGATTCTGCCTCCATCTTGCCATGTGACCTCTTAAGCGACCAGTCAGAAGATGACACTGTCTTTACAGAGGAAAAGGGTCGCTCCCCCACTGAGTAAGGGGTTCATTTTTCTCAGTGACTCCCAACCTTAAATATCATGATCAAAATATATTTGTAAAACCTTAAAGGTGCATAACACGTTATATGCCTGTACAAAAAAGGACCAAAACCATTTGATCATGATGAAATTAGGTTATATACACCAAGTTTCCATCCTGCTAGTATTTAGCAGACATAAACAGACAGGTGTATCATCTGCCAGCAGTACGATGAACCTATCAGAAAGCGAGGTGGTGACAATTGATGAAGCTAATTCATTGAGTCAGATGGAAAACAAGCAGTGATGAGAGGAATGCAATGCTTTTGTTACCACAGCAACCGATAGCATAGCAGCTAGCCAGTAGGCAAAAAACATGGTACTGCTATTGGGCTAACCCTGGCACATTAGCGGCAAGGCTAGGATGATAACCACAGGCCAAGAAATATAAGCTTGTGAGTGTGTGAGCAGCTGTTTCAGTGGCGGCTTCATTCCAGCAGGCCTAGGTTTTATGTCCACCTCAGTCACACAGGAAAACTGAGTACAAGTACCCCAAAGGTGGTATTGTGGAATCTTTAAGTTTTGTGGCACTTATGAAGCTTTCAAGAGAAGCACTCAGAACTCAAGACTGTGCTGGATTTTCAGCTCAGAGCTCTTACGAAGAGGAATGTAGTCCTTTATGACAACAAAAATGGACTACAGTTCCAGAGATTTTACCAGATGTAACGTGATGTCCAGCTGGAAGTTTAGGTCTCTCTTTCCAAAAAGGTTAAAAAACAAACCAACTTTCAGTTTTAAGTCTTAAGTTTTAAGACATTTCGCTTCCCATCCGGGGAAGCTTTTTTTAATTCAGAAAAGCCTTCAAACTTGAAAAAGAAAGTCCTTTGGTTTTTTTTTTTTTTTTTTTTACTTTTTTTGGAATGACTATGACCTGGATGATTGAGAATCTTCAGTAGCATTCATGTCTTTCTGTTCCATCCGGACTGAGGTCCAGGGAAAGAGAGATAGAAAAGGTTTTCTCTGAGGATTTAAACATTACGCAATTTATGTGATATCAAAGGGATGGACGATGTCAAATCACAACAGTAATTTGATTCTCTGATATGGGATTTGTAGTTCTGAACAGAGAAGTTGTAGTTCTGATCCGTAGCATGGGTAAGGCAGAGCAGGAAAACAGAGGAGGCACCAGAATGTACTTAGTCTTAGAGACTTAGACTACTTTTATTTTCATTTTGTATACACAGAGTGTATACCAGGTTTCAGAACATTTCCATTTCATAAAGTGCAGCAGTAATCAATTGTTAACAGCGTGGAAGAAAAGACATGTTGCAGAAAACACATTGATATGGAAGTTCAGAGCATTTAATATATATGGGACAAATATGCAGAATTTTGGTTTGGTGTTATCAGTCAGAGTCTGTGACATGATCTAGAGCAGAGGTCCCGGATTAGCAGACCGTGGTCCGGATCCAGACCCACCTGCTGAGTAATCTGGACCCAGCCTGATTTAAAACATTTATAAATCACTGCATGGTGTCAGATGGCAATGTCTAATTTCACTTGCGCTGCTTCTACTGTTTGTACGGTAAAGCCCTCCAGAGTGCCCCGCGACCAGGCTCAATTGGGTACAATTTAGCCAATGAGCTGTGTCAGTCTACTTTTAGACACAACAGCCAAACCTGTTGCAAGCTGGGCGGTGCAAAAGAAGGAGAAGACAATGAGAAAAAGTGAAAGCAAGTGTGACTGATGACAGAAAATTGAAATGGCGTGTTATTAGATGACCTTCACATTTTGAGTATGTTTGGCTCAACCTAATGCTGTGAAGCAGGATTCCCCACCATTACAATAATCAACGATAAATATCAATCCAGGCTCAAAATGAGCACCTTGATATGTGCTTTATAAGGGCTTTATCGCCATTCAAACCCAGGTTTAAAGGCCTTGCAGCGCAGCCTAAAGCCCACTTCTCATATTAAGCCATAAAAAAATAAAAAATAAAATTAACAAGCGGTCAGTTCAGGTGTTTAATAAAATATGTCAATCAGGAAATTGTCTATATACCAAACTGAACGATTTTTGTTTTCTACTTAAAATAACACTTTAGATTTTAAAATGGAAAAATGTTAAATTTTTTTATATATCTGTTTTTATTTAAAAAGTCAATGGACAACATGGATGCATAAACAAATCATTTTATTTCAGGGTTTAATTCTGTTTAAAGTAACAGATAATTAAAAATGTCTCCGGCCCTTTACTGGTTGTTGATTTTCTTTATTTGGACCCTGCTAGTTTTTAATTGGTTACCCCTGATCTAGACTTTTCTCAACAGTTCAGTACATTGGATGCTGCGAAGCCTCTCCCCAGAGGGCAGCAGGGAGAACTAGATGTATTCAACTTTGCTTTCAATTATCTGGTGCTGTTTGTCAGCCAGAGAGCAGATTATGCAAGGTGGGACCCAGGTGAAAATAGTTATCAGCACATACAGTTTCATACATTATATCCACAAACTGCTATTTATTTGGGGATTTATCATAGGACAACAAAAGATTTTTTTTGATCAAACCCAAGACAAACAGCTTTAAAATGCAAAAAAATAAAATAAATCTAAGATATAAATTTCTTTGATATGATGTGGCTTGTAAGAACAGCAGAATCTTCCTGTTACAGTGAGGGTAGTAATATTTTGATTCCCTGCTGGTTGAGAATATTTGCTCACTTAAAAAAAAGAAATTATCAGTTCCAAATTTGAATGTTTATTTTATGTGAGGAGACAGGGTGTCATCAAATTATCTAGAAAAAAAGCAATTTCGATATAACGGTGTATAAAGGACACACATGATTTATTTTCAGGACTGAAATTGATTTATTGACATTTTTAAGTTATACTTTAGGGACTTTGCAGGAATATCCAAAAAAGTCAGTGTTTCTACTTTCAAAATTAAAACATTTACTGTAGGATTTTCATGAATGTAGGTTTAAAAAAAGGCATACAATAAAAAAAAAATTACAGACTAAGACTTCTATATTGTATTTAACAAAGACTTTCATCTTTACAATTACATTATAACTTGAATATCTAACGAAATTGAAAAATAAAAAAATGTTTACATATCAAAAATATTTAGTCTTCTCCGGTCACAAGCTTGGCCTTTCTGAAATCTAATATTTTACAGAATCTTTTCTGATGAAATGCATCATTCATTCCTTCTGGATTTGTTTTCAGGTATGTGAAAGGTTATCCTCCCAACTCTCCGTACATTGGGAGCTCGCCCACCTTGTGCCATCTGTTAGCTGAAAAAGCACCATTTTGCTGCCTACGATTAGACCAGGTGGGCAGTCATTTTTCCTTCAACTTAGTCACTCAATTACATGCTGGTTCAATCATTCCCTGTCCTCTCTCTGTCCTTTACATTGTAAAAGTATACCTAAAATATCTCACCTGTTCTTTTTTCTGCTTGTGCAGGGCTGTATGCACAACAGCTTTGAGGATGCTAAGGCATATGGCTTTAAGAACAAGCTGATCATTGTGTCGGCTGAGACTGCAGGAAACGGTCTCTATAACTTCATAGTGCCTCTCAGAGCTTATTACAGAGCTAGAAAGGAGCTGAACCCCATTGTCTTACTGCTGGATAACCCGTAAGCTCTTAACACACACATACTGTTCCTTCGCTTTTCGCTTCACTCAGACTTCCGCCGTGTCATGCTGGGAAAAATTATGATTGCTGAAAGGCTCACGTCAGCAAGCACTTAGGACAAGGCTGTGGAGGTGGGACTCCATTGTTATTCCTGATATTAGATTACCACTGCTACTTGTGTTTTTAGTGACAAGGAAGAAAAAAGTCTCTGTTCCACCAGACAGTAACCATGGAAACTTGCTGTGCCTTGAACCTGCGTGATATACATTGCCACAGGAGGAGAAAATGATTTCTTTTGATAGTGCTAACTTTCATGAAGAGCCCCGATTTGTCCCTTTTTCAGCCCCCACATGCAAGCTGAAAGAACTCTCATAGAAACACACATACATACCAATAAATGCTCCCTGCGTGTTGCTCTATGCTCCCTCCCTTCCAGCAGTCTTGCACACACAAATGCAAACACCCACGCATTTGGAATTCAATCACTTACAACAGCCTTGGGTCTCAAGTCAGCAGGATTGGGAACATGCAAAATGCAATGCAATGTCAAAGGAGGTGGAAGAAGACAGACTCTGATTAAGTGTCTGAATGTCTCTCTAAGTGTGTTCAGCTCCAGATGGTCTTTTCCCTCAGCCCGAAATGACTCTAACCAATGAGATAGCTAATACACAGCAACTTCCAAGAGTCTGCGAGTTGCTGCAGGATAGGATAGTTCCAGAATTCGACTCCTGTCTGAAGAAGCAATGAAATAAAAATACATGTTGATGTATTTAGGATGTTTTTTTTGAAAATGTTGGTGCCTTAAAAATATCCATTGATTCTTTTTTGGTCTCATTGCAACCCCAACATTCAATGGAAAATGTGATTTAATGTATAAGATTTTCTAATACCTCTAAATGAAACCATGTGAAACCAGCTGCCTTGAAAAGTCATCGATTTATTCAACAAAGCCTTCCTTTGTTGAAGATGATCTAAGTATAAATCCATGTGTTCTTCTATTTTTGTGTTATATTGGTAAACATAAAGACCAACCAACATAGAAAATCAATCATGTATTACCAGAGAGGTTTAAAGTAATGTTATGATATAAACTAATATTTCAAGTTATGAACATACGACAGCACACTTTTCAGTCTAGAATTCAAAAAGTAAAAAGGTTACGATACAGATGCATATCAACCAAAACACTCCTGTTCATCTAAACTGATAGGCTGACGAGGAGAGCTTGTCATAATCGCAGCCCCTGTAGCTGATCTAATTACTCACTCCACTCACCTGCCATTGCCTCGACGCTCTCTAATTATCATTTATCTTAGTCACCTTCTCCCGCTGCTGTATATATTGTTCAGCTCAGCTATCGGGGCCAGATCATTATTGGTTGGTATTCGTGTTACTTATTAATGTATTCTTATTTTATTTGTGTTATGTTTTCATGTCAGCATTCATGTTTGCTTCATTCGTTTTGGTTAAGTCCCTGGTTCATATTCCCCTCCCCGGAAGCCAGTGGATTGAGAGGTACACGGGAGAGGTACATGGGGGAGGTCAGTTTTAAATTCCTGTAATCCTGGCTCCAAGGTGGAGACCAGCTTAAAGTTCGGCATTTATCCTGGTACCAAGTCTTGTCTATGTTCGTCTCTTCCACTGAGCCTGCCTATCTTCATCTGAGCGTGTCTGTCTGACACACTGCTGGACTCATAGAACTCTTAACCTGCCTGAATGCTCTGAGGATTCCTGGAACCCTTGATCTGTCTATTCCTTGTCTGATCTGAACCCCTGCTCGGGCTACGGACTCCTTGATCTCGGAATTGTCCGATTTTGAATTGTTTCTCTGACCTGGATCAGCCTCCTGCCTGCTCACTAATTTTGCTGCATTGGGGACACTTTGGACAGCATGTCGTTGGGCAGTCCATCGGCTAGATTTCAGCCACTGTCAGATGATCGTGGTCACTTACCTGTGTTTCTCCCTCCAGAGTGTCAGTGATTGGGCGGTGCTCCGCCCCTTCCTTCAGCCACTGTGGTCTGCTTATCCTTAGCAGCCCGCGTCCCGTTTTGTTTGTTTCATTATTTTACGTCAAAAAATGATTTGAAACTTCCAATTGTCTGAATTGCATTGAATATTGGGTCCATCTGTCCCATTTATGACAGAGCTATAAGAAGGAGCCGCCTCCAGATGAACATTTGGATTTCAATCATTCTCCTGCGAGAAGACATATTTAAAAGATTGGCAGGTGTCACAAATGCTTTAATTCTAAACATCTTGCATTCATCTAAGGGGTCCCAGCTGTAATCATATAAACAGTTAAGAATATGTGAAATTATGAATAGGAACATTTGAAACAGAACGAAAATCTGACATTTATTTCATGAATATTTCCAAGTTATTACTTACTTTTGGATCTCATTGTTAGGGAAAACCCAGATCTACGTAGGGCAGCAAAAAACTTATTAAAAGCCTATGAAACACTTAACACAGAGTGATATCCGCACACAGAAAAAGGACAGTACTTTCACAACAGGTATAAGGAGTTAAATGAAGTGAGGGACTGTGTTTAAAATAACTTGGAATTGCCTTTATCCACACTATACACTTTAGCAAATTTTGTTTGAATTCGATACATATTTCTTAAAACTGAAAATGTAAATTTTGACTCGAGAAACAAACAGCACAGATGAATAGTAGCAGAGACAAAGAAAAGAAACAAAAGACAACTCCTATTGTGGGAATCAACTTCTTTGTTTCCTCAAAGGCTTTCTCTGGATATTTAACATAATAAATATTTCTCAATTCTGAGTCTGTGCAACAAATCTTTTGTTGGGAAAAAAAAAGAAAGTTCCTAATTTTCATTTTCAGTTTTCTTCCCACAGCCCTGATAATCACTTCCTGGAAGCCATTTGCTGTTTCCCAATGGTGTACTACATGGCTGGGTCCATAGACAAGTAAGATAGTAGCAGAAAATATATTTTAATTTTTTCAAAAATATTTCATGTTTTTGTTCAATCATTTCAACATATATGCTTAGATATTTTTCATATGTTGTATTAATGGAAAATTGTCCTGTGTTGCAGTCTGGACAGTCTGCTCCAGTGTGGAATTATATATGCGGATAACTTGGTTGTGGTTGATAAAGAGAGTACAATGAGTGCAGAGGAGGACTACATGGCTGATGCAAAAACTATTGTCAATGTACAAACTATGTTCAGGTAAAATAAATTTACCAGTTGAATGGGATAACATGCATAAATCAGTGTTCAGTTGATGTAACACCACATGCACTAATTCTTTCACTTCTAAAACCTCAGGCTATTTCCAAGTCTCAGTATTATCACTGAGCTTACACATCCATCCAACATGAGGTTCATGCAGTTCAGAGCAAAGGACTGCTATTCGCTGGCTCTGTCAAAGCTGGAAAAGGTCAGGAAAGCAGGTTACCCTTGTATGAACTGCATGGTGAATTATAATTTAACGACTCTGATTTTTTCATGTTTCACAGAAAGAGCGAGACAAAGGCTCCAACCTGGCCTTCATGTTTCGCCTGCCCTTCGCTGCAGGCAGAGTGTTCAGCATCAGCATGTTGGATACCCTCCTCTATCAGGTTGGTAGGCAACTAAAACCCAACATGCAGCCTCCCTCTCCTGAACACCAGGTATTAGAATGTGCTTCACATCAACAGAGAAAGATGTTGCACCTCACAAAAGTCAGAAGTGCCCTCTTGTGCCCAGTTACTAAAGCATTGCTTGTAAACTTTTTCTTTATACTATGCTTTTATTTTGTCAGCTATATTTAAATCAACAAACAATTTGAACAGCTTTTTACGTGGTTCTTTTTCAGTCTTTTGTAAAGGACTACATGATTGTTATTGCTAGACTTCTGCTGGGACTGGACACCACTCCTGGATCAGGCTTCCTTTGTGCTGTGAGTCACAAATATCTTGCAAAAGTATTCATACCCCTGCAAATTCTCAGTCATCAAGGATATTTCAACAAAACAGGCTTAAATAGGAGGAGAGCCGACTTTCATAGAGTTTTTCTGAAGACTCGTAATTAATGTTGTGATAGGAAATAGTTTTTTCCAACCACTGGGTCTTTGTCTAATTGAAAGGTAAACTGCTTTATCAGTCTCAATTTTTTGCCTCTAACATTTTCATTTAGAGTTTCCATGTATTTATTCCCACCTAGCTTCCTTTTAACTCTGACCACCTTGTCATTCTTTACTGAAGATAGGCATTCCCACAGCATGATGCTGCCACCATCACGTTTATGGAATAGATTGAGTCGAACTAGAAATGAGACTTCTTCTTTCTACAAAGGATTTCTACTTAAACTACTTCCATAATTGTTCCTTTCTCTTCCTCTTTATGTGGACCACTTTAGGGCAATCCCATAAAATCTAACTAAACATATGGTTGACCTGTGGTTTAATGGGTAAAAATAAAGGATTAGAATAGTTTTGCAAGTGTCTTTGTAGAAAGTAGAGTTATATACAGAAAAACACAGTTGAATTGAAGAAACTTTTTTTAAAGTTGATTTTTTTTTTTTTTCAGATGAAAATAACAGAAGAGGATTTATGGATTGGTACCTATGGGAGACTCTTCCAAAAACTTTGCTCCTCTAGTGCTGAAATTCCTATTGGCATCTATCGTACAGAGTCCCACATTTTCACCACTTCAGAGGTGAGATTATATCAAAGTAGACCAACATATGACCACTTGGTTCAGAGGAAATTGTTGAAGTCTTACATCATTATTAAGTCCCAGGTATCAATGAGTGTAGACGACTGTGAAGACACAAAAGAAAGAGGGGACGAGTCTCGCAGCAATGACCCATCAGATTACCCCCTGCTGAGGAAGAAGAGTATGCAATGGGCACGGCGTCTCAGTAAGAAAAGCGTGAGGTGGCAGGGAAGCAGCCGAGACTCGAGTAAAGACCACGCGCAGCGCATAGCTCAGCAGCGTCTTAACCTCTACAGACGGTCTGAGAGGGAAGAGCTGTCTGAGCTGGTCCGTAACCGTATGAGGCATCTGGGCCTTCCCACTTCTGGATACGGTAACTATGGACATTTTTCTTTTCTACATCACCATTACATTTAAGACTTTGTTTAATTCTTCAATATGTCTGTTCCTTTTTTTTAAATGCAGATGATCTGACAAATCTGACAGCCAGTGATGTCATGAACAGAGTCAATTTGGGATATTTACAAGGTAAAACATTTTAGAGCTTTCAATATACAGAAGATAGGACCGTTTTGGACTGATTTTGTTTGTTTCAGATGAGCAGAATGACCACCAGAACACTTTGTCCTATGTACTCATCAACCCTTCTCATGACACCAGACTGGAGATCAATGACATTGTGTAAGTAAATGCGACAGTGTATATTTTTCTTTTTTGCATTATATGTTTTTTGGTTGCATTACCCTGCAAATATGTGTACTGCCATGACTTAAAAAAATATTCACAGCAGTTGAAATTTTTTATTTAAAAATTCACTTTTCAATCATAACTTAAATGTGTTTTATTTGGGATTTTTATCTGATTAACCAACACAAACACACTGAAGGTAAGACAGAAATAAAATATAATATTTAGTTTCTTCCCAAACTAAAATCTGGAAAGCATGGTGTCTGATTGTATTCACCCCTTTAAAGTCAATACCTTCTACTACAGTCTCATCTTGAACAGATCTTTGGGGTATATCACCTAGTTATACCTATCTAGAGAAAAATGTTTTACCTGCTGCCAGGGTGATATCTAGTGATAGCTTTTCCGCATATACTGCAATTTGCATGTTGACCAAAAAGTTTAATGTTGGTCTCATTTGACGAGAGAATCTCTTACCATGTTTGTTGGGATCCCTACAGTACTCAACTTGTTGTAAATGTAAACCCTGATTCCTAAAGACAGATTTCACCAATGGCTTTTCTCTCCTCATCATGGGCGTAGGTTTGCATAGGGACCATAGGGACATGTCCCTACCAAAATTGTGGACCGACCTAATTGTCCCTACCAACAATTGCATGTGAACAACATGCAAACATTTTCCTCTTGCAGCTCCTCTGCCTGGTAGCTGCAGCTGCCTGGTCTTTCCTGTACATTTTACGTAGCATCGCACCAACTGTACTGCAATGTTTAACTCCACTCTATGATTTTTCCACCTTAAGTTCCTCCTTCTCTCTTTCTGATTGCTTGTTTTCTCGTCTATGTGTGCGCGCGCGCTTGGAGCGCAAAATTAAAATTACGCTAGAATACGGCGGTTACCAAAATTAATATTAGGCCACGAAACTAGTCCCAATTAAAAAACTAAATGTCATCTACGCTAGAACAGGTGAAAGCTGCTGATTGCAGTTCTGCAAAGAAGCAGGAGAGGGTTTGGATTTGATGAACTTGAGAAATGAAAGTAACCAACGTTAGGATTTCTTTATAAAACTAAATATTCTGAGTCAGACAGGGGTTCAAAAAACAGCTGGTAAAATGAACAAAGACTGTAAACTATCAACATTTCTGATTCCCTTTTACCAATATTTCCTTGCTATTAATGTTTACATTTTTGATGGCAGTTCAGGTATAAATAACAGGTGTTATTTCTTTTGTAGAACATAACATGAGAAGGATGCTAAAGATCTGCTATTTTTTGTTTTCCATATTTAAATAGTGCTATTTAATTAACTTCTACTTCTAGAAATAGGATAAAGACAAACAGATGAACCCTACTTACCTTGATTCTATTTTTCAAGATTTCCACACGGTCCATAAGTAAATTAGTGCAAACATTGTCTGGTAAATAATGCTTGAATCTGGCTGTTTATTTTGGATATTATTACATTACAGATAAGATAGTGCTATATTGTTTTTTATAATTGTTAAAAGTGATTTTATATTTGAAAAAACTTAGGCTCATTCTTAGTGTTGTGTTTTGTAGATGATGCCACTAAAAAAGAAAAAAGACATAATGAGCTATTTAAACAGCCAGACGAGCAATATAGGATGATGAAAGGTTTTTTTTACATTTAGTCCTTTACAATTAAAAACCCACTTCTATAATAGAAACATTATATGACTGTAGGAAACACAGATATAATGCTGCAGGGCAGCCTTAGGGTGAAGCAGCTGCCCTTCGGTGCTGTATTATGAAAGAAATGTGTTTGGAATGTTACCATAAAATTAGGGCTGCAACTAATGATTATTTTGCAAATTGATTAATCCGTTGATTATTTTTTTGATTAATCGATTAATAATCAGATAGACAAAGGTTCCTTAAAGATTTTTTTTACTAAATTAAACAAGGTGAAACATGCATTTTGGCATCCATTTTTTTGCATAGGACCAATGACAGACCAATGAAAATGAAAACCAATAGTGTCCCTACCAAAGTTGAAATCAAACCTACGCCCTTGCTCCTCATTATAAAGAAGAGAAAAGTTGTCTTGATACATTCTACCCCTAAAATGTAAAATCGCATGCGCCTCTTGGCTGCTTGTGTGACTAATACTATCCACTTTTTATAATTATATACAAAAATGTAAAATCATGTCCTTTCTTTGTAACTTCCTGATTATTCACCACCTTGTGCTGATCAGTCACATAAAATCTGGACAAAAATGTACTAATTTGAGGTTCTTGTGTGATTAAAATAATATGTAAAAAGGAATATGATCAATTTTAAAATGACCTGTGGACATAAAATAAGAAAGTGAATTTCTTGTAAAATTGTGTTCCTTTGGCTCCTCCTAGTGTTTCAAGTTTAATTTGTAAGGATAAATATCATAATAGGAACTAAGGAGATGAGGACTCTGCCAGTTGTTTTAGTAGCAGCAAGGAACAAAGCATTTTGCAGCTTTTGGAGTATGTATATCATTGCATTAATGTCTTATGAATAAGCAGACTAAGCGTTATTGCTTTACTTGTTGTAATTATGGATGCAAGCAAGTTTAAAGTACCGGTAATAAGCTGCTACAATAGTTCCACTTTTAGCAAAAATTAGCCATACTTATCAACATTTAGCAAAGTTTTTTTTGTTGTTGCTGAAAATTCATGCTTTTTTGCCTTTTAAACATTTATTTTCCACAGCCCATTCTCATCAGTGATTTATACAAGCAGAATGACATTATTAATTGCCATAAAGTATCTATTTTTCAACAATTCATAAAAAATAAAATAAAAAAATATCTCAGTTTGATCTTCCTTTACCTTTTTATTTTTAAAGGTCAGAAACTAAAGAATCGATGATGGAGTTAAAGTAATGTTTTTGTTGCTAACATCTCTATTCTCTCACAGATATTTGATACGTTCTGACCCTCTGGCGCACGTTCCGGATGAGCCGCCCGTCCACAGCAGTAGCCTAAAAGAGAGACAGGAGTCCAGAGAGGACACCCCACTCTGACATAATGCTGACTTTTAACCGAGATGGCCTCCTTTCAGTTGGAATATAAAGAAGACAATTTGGTCTTTGGTTCCTTTAGTGTTGAAACCCACAAATGTATAATGTGAGTGCCTACTGCCTGTCTGATCCCATTGGATATCATGTTTGCAATTTTACTCATCTTGCTTCAAATGCTGTACATACAAAAGCTTCATCAAGTCTAAATACCGTAGACTTATTAGATGTGTATCTACAGTTTACCTAAGACTTACATTGTTGAAACATAGGGTACCACAGGAGAGTAAGACAATGACAGACATCTGCTTATACAGTTCTCAGCAAAAAAATCGAAAATATTTAGGCTTTAAGTTGTCTTTTGACTTTCCATGGTTGACACATTTGTCTGTTTAAAAGTCTGCTAAACTCAAACAACCCTAAGTGACTTAAATAAAAATGAGCATTAAAGTTTCAGATGTTTATTTTGTAGCTAAAATTTAATTTAATTAGTGCCAATAAGGACTATGTTAATGGGTTATGTATGTATATAATGATGCTAGTTATTTCTGTTTGTTTCCTTTGTTTAAAGTGTTATTTTCCTGAGGACTCTGCAGCTTTATTAACAGGTTGAGATTGATCTTTAGTATTCTAAAGTACTTTTTGTTGTGTTTTTTTTTTTTTTTCTTTTTTTTTTGTGGGTTTGGGCATGCACTCTTTGGTGTCGTGCATGTTTTAGAGAATCGAAACTATTTCCCATGAAGTATTTTCTATAAATGTAAGTCCTTTAAATAAGAGGCCTAAATGTCTGCAGATCTCGCCAGTACTATGAAACCTGCTGTGATTTCAAAAGCTGTTTTGAATTGTGTTTTCATTCATTAATGGAGAAAATCATTTTAAGGTTTACCAACCTTTGCAGCAACAAGTTATACCTTACCTTTTTCAATAGCCGGTATTCTGTCTTTTACACCACTGCAGAGGAATGTTGACGCCCTCCTCTTAGCAGACATGTTTTAATTCAGCCTTAATGGTTTCAAACTAATAAACATTCTCCCTCAGGATTGTCTGTTAGATATTAGAATACATGGTTTTAGCTGTTAAGAAATGTTATATTACTTTGGCTTGAAAAGTAACTTGCACCTTTAAAAAAATTCAACATTTCTCTTTTATAGATAGATACAGATATTTTCTACCCTGTTTTGGGGACAATCAAGAATTTTGTGAGACAGGTCCTTTGTGTTTGTTTCATTCAGGAGTCTTTTTGACCTTAGAACTTTGCCATCCATAGAACTTCCATTCTCTTTCTTACATTTGCAAACTAAACAACACAGACCTTGAGGCAATCGAGGCCTGCCAGGCCTGAGCTGTCCTTCTTTTTGCGACCCTCCTGATGTGTTTCAGCTTTGCAGTAATTTTGTAGTCCCTGAGAATCCTCCCCTTTAATTCATTTTGTCTCCAGTTGTAGTTTATGGATCCAACCATGGTTCTCCAAAGCCCCAAAACCTTATAAATTGCTTTATATTTCAAATTCTAAGTACCGTCTTGATTCTACATGTCAGCCAGTAAATAAGTTTGGTTCTGTTATTAAAACTAAAGCTAAATTTTTTTTATAAATATTTAGTTTACATACTATAATTTACTTGATCTGAAATATTTAGGTGACCATCTTTATCTGTGCATCGCCAATCAGCTGTCTTGTTAAAGTAGGTTACTTCTCTTTTCCTTACCTTGAAGGAGAGAAATCCAGCAGTCAGTCTTATAAGTGGCATGCATGTTAAGCAGCAGGCTGCCAAAGCAGTTAGCCTGTCTGACTAATAAGCTAAAATTAACTTGTTAAGCAAACTCTTATTAGATCAAGAGAATCTCTATTAAAGCTTTACCTGAAAATCGATATATAACCGATATGTTTGTTATACTGTAACCATAGCCACCTATATATTATTTTAGCCACAAAATAATGACTGCTTCCCTGTTTTAAATGTAAACAGTTTAATTGTTATACATTTTTTATTTATGTAAATGCAGTTAGAATCTGTAAAGGGGTCCATGCCCATTTCTCCTACTATAATCTTAAAGCCCCATGTTGTGATTGCTTGACAAAAGTGTGTATCTCTTTTTCCATTTCAGTGTTGACTCAATTTGTACTTAAACATAGCTTTATGTGCACATTAAAGTGCTTGAAAATACATAGAGTGGTTTGAGTTGTGTTCCTTTTATACTCTGTTCATTTTGACCCGATGGCTTCACAGAAATTATTATAAATGATCAATAAACAGTATTCTATTACTGAAAAAATAAAAAGTAAAGAATGCTCATATTGCTATTTTGTTATCATATATAGTCAGCATGTTACATATACACCAATTTTGAAGGGTTTGAGATGAGTAACAGTTTTATTTTTTGACCAGTTACTTTGCACTTCAGAGATTTCTTCATATTTATAAAAAGTGCATAAATGTTTCTGTGACAGACTGGTGACCTGTCCAGGGTGTACCCCGCATCTCGCTCATTGACTGCCGGAGGTAGGCAGTCTATGGGCGACCCTGACATGACTAGGTAAGAGAAAATGGATGGATACATAAATATTGTTTCAAACATTATCTAAAATGACCTTTAAGAAATTATAAAGAGAGTAACTATGTGTCTTATATAAAATATATTATCCCAACTAACTTGCTTTGGAGCAACAAAACCAAAGTGCCTTACCCGACATTTAGTATAAATTCTGACACTATCACAGCTTCATAACACAGATACAAACTGGATGGTTTTCCTTCCACCTGATATTATGCACTACTATGTGTTGGTCGATTACGCAATGGATGTAGAGAGAAAAATGTTTTACAAGAATCTTTTCACCTGGTGATTGAGTAAAAGCTTTTTTCTTTTTGTCTACATTTCAATTAACTGTTTTAACTCTTAGCTGTATTTGAAACAATACAACCTTTACAAACATACACTACAATCACATGCAGTTAGAATAAAAAAGTATGATAATACTAAGACTGAGAGACCTGCAAAGAAAGAAGATAATATATTTGGTTTATAAAGAACTGATACAACTGGTCCAACTTTAACAAGAAAAATTTCTTGTTGCACTTTATTATATCTCTTTAAAATAAATAAATAAACATAAAATATACAACTGAAATCATCAGACATAAGATCTCTCTAACATAAGAAACTTTAAAATAGTGCCTACTTTTTTTTATTAAACAGAACTTGTAAATAATGTACAGAAAATATTGTTCAAAAATGTACAAAATGCAGCAAACAAATATATCAAGTATAGTGCAGTTTCTTTTCCAAACATTTTACCAAACACTGACAACTGCTCATCAGCAGGAAATAGCTGAGCCACCGAGGCTGCATCAAACATTAATGCCTGACCAGACAACAAAATAGGAGCAAAAGCCGTCTGCTTGGCAACATAACTTGGTTGCTTTTGATTAATGGATTTTCACAGAGAGATGGTATAATTTGAAAAAATGCTTTATGTGTAGGATGAATAGTAGAATATTTCCCTTACTGTGAAACCAATGTTACTGGTCCTGGTTTCACTTTTAACAACAAAGAGACTCAATATTGAATAAAATTAACAAAATAAAATAACAATTTAAAGCAATGCTTGAACCCTTACTGACACAATCATTCATTTCTGCACACACCCTAAACTAGACCAATACTGCTAATATTCAACCCATCCGTATGCTCAAAGCTCATCGTCTGAGTAGGTACCAGTGTGAAGGAATCCCACTAGTTTTTTTGTTTGTTTTTTTTTTGCTTTTAAATGCGTAGCTGAGTTAACAAACTTTAAAGTCCTGACTTGGTACATCACAGCCTGCCTAAAGCTGCACTTTGCATCAGTAGCATAGCATGTTTGCTTCTGGGAGGAGATTTAGCGGGACAAGACTACGGTAGGTGGCTTTGGATTATGATAAAATTAAAATAAGTGTACCATGCATAATAAAAGGTAACGAATTGAAAAGACAGAGTACAGTGAGTTAGTGGGTGTTAAATACTCACACTGCCATAGATCATCTAACTTTCCTTCTAATCCCATCAATCTTCTCCAAGTTTGTACTTTTTTTGGGTCCTGCCCAACTGTAGCTTATTAAACACAAACAGTGTCATTTTTGCTCATTTTCTCCGAGCGCTCCCTGGTCTCCTGATCTGCCACAGGTGGTTGTGGATGGTCAGAGCATCCACGCTAACAGACACAGTCTTGGCGGGGATCACGGTGAATTGCTTGCGGTCTGAGTTGTATTTGTACAGCTTGTCGATCATCTTGGCGGTGATGGTGCGCGGCCCTGTGCCCGTGTACTTGACGATCACCTCGGTGTCTGGTGAGTATGTGTAAATGGCTCGAAACTGACACCCGCCATCGCGGAAGAGGATGAAGAGGTGGTTGGATTCACACTTTTCCATTTCCTGGAAATAATAACAAGAGACAAAAACACACATGATCAGAAAATCAAACAAAATGCAGGAAGCTTTGTGAGCACAGCTTAGATTTATCCTGGGTTATTTCACTGACCTCAAGGATAACATTCTTCTGGACCTCATTAACCTTCCCAGCCAGGCAGCAGTGGGCGATGGCATTGATGATGATTGGCTTGTTGGATTTGGAGCTTGGTTCCTTGAAGAGTTTAGGACCTGTACACAAAAAAAATACACACATAAAAATTGAATCACTCTCCTCAATAATTTGGATCAGAAGTTTGATATTATTAACAATCTAGTCCATGGAAAAGCTATGGAAAATATAAATGGCTAAGGTTAATTTTTTTGCTTGATCTGCCTAAACTGAGCAGTGACCAGCAATTTGGAAATTCACAAACCCAACCTTCTTTTATTGACTGCATCAGGTCACCCTGAAGATAAAGCCCTTCAGTGTAGATGTTATCAATGTGTGAAAAGCTTAAACTGAACTCATGGGTTGTTGAAATTAAGTCAGGGGAAGGAGAGAGTTAAGAAAAGCTGTTTGAAAGTAGTTTGTGTTTTCCAACATATTGAAGCAGTGCTAGAGAGCATGACTTATAGCATGGGCTGCTCAGTGGCACAGTGGGTAGCACTGCCCTGGGTACAATTCCCAGCTTCCTCCCACAGTCCAAAACATGACTGTTAGGTTAATTGGCTTCTTTAAATTCTCCTTAGGTGTGAGTGTGTGTGTGAATGTTTGTCTCTGTGTTGCCCTGTGATAGACTGGCGGCCTGACCAGGGTGAACCTCGCCTCTCACCCGTAGACACCAGCACACCTTGCACACCTTGGGATTAAGCGTGTAAATAAAATGGATGGATGTATGGAGTTTGAGCATGTAACAGTAAGACATTACAGCAAAGGTGCTCTGTTTTAAACTGTCTATAGATTTCGAAACATCAGCAGTGTTTTTAAACCCCAAAGAAAAGTTGTTTATTCTCTAGAAATTGACACATAAACTGCTTTTTTTCATAACGTTAGCAATACTGCCTTTATTTTGAATTGTTAGGTATTTAATTTTTCATTTATTCTTTTATTTTTTACTGAAACAGTAATCTCGATTACAATGCAAATTGTAGTTGACAATAAAGATTGATTGATTATTCTATTTAACAGCGACTGCTCTCTAACACCGCTGTGGGAAATAACCTCTACAGCAGGAAGGCTACAAAAATCTCTCAACTCTCATTCTGTTACATCAATTCTCCAAAAGGACAAAAAGAGAGATAAAATTAAATCTCCGTTCACCTTGATCTTAACAACCACTTGATGTCCAACCAGCCTGTTAAGAGGATTTTGTATTGTGCTAACAGCAACCTTCATTTAAACAGCCAGAATGGGTTTGATTGTGTTCTGTTGTCATTTATTTGACCAGGGGTCCATTTCATGAAGCAGGTGTAAAAACTCAGATTCATATCCGCAAATCTAAATTGATCTAGCCTAAAGTCGGGAACTCTGAGTGTTCTGTATCACAACAGCTGCTAGCAATAAGTTCAATCAATTTTAACTAGGTCCACTCAGAGTTAAGGACGTGCGAACCATGACAACAGGCAACAGGAAGAGCCTATTTCACCCCGCTATAACTAGAGATTTTAATTCAGAAATGTAAAAAACTAAAATAAAAGATGAGAATGTGTTTATAGGACAGATAAGCAGTGCTAGAGCTACAAAGAGGAAGAGGAAAAGGAGAAGACTGTTGCACCATTTAATGCGTAAGTTTATATCAAGTGGCCGTTTTACCATTTATTAAAAGAACTCTCCTCACTGTTGTTCCTTTTGAGGGTCACTAAAATAAGATTTTTCCTGATTAAAATAACACTCCTAGACCTAACTGTAACAATTTATTTTCTAAATTACATTTTTGTAGCAGAAACTGAATTTTAGACGGTAAAAAAAACCAACTAAGTTGTACTAATAAAATATTTATTTTATATATCTCGAAATGTTTACACATTTTAACTGGCCATTCTGAAATTTATCAGCTTGACTGAAAATGTACTTATGATATCTGAAAATAATTTTATTCATTAATAAAATAATGCAAATGCTGACCAGTAATTTTAGGAATATGGAGATCTGAAATAAATTTCTAGACATCCAGAATGTTTATTCTAGATGTGGAGAATATCAGTTTGCATGAAATGGTCATTTAGACAAAGAAAATTTTTTTTTTTCTTTTATCAGGAATACATATTCAGTAAAATTAGTACATATCAAAATGGCTTGCCACAGCGTTGTTACTGTGAAAATATTACGGGATTATTTCTTGGATGGTAGTAGATCAATGTATTTATTTAGGGAAAATTTTCTGGCAGCAGGTGAGGATGAATAAAAAAAAAAGGTGTTTTGTCTTGTCATTTTTTGTTTCTGACTCACCACTGTACTCCATTGAAATGACTGATGAGGCTATGGAAGCGCTCTCCCAGTCTCGGTCCATGTTCCTGCTGGATGCCCTGCTCAGCATAGGGAACGAATCCACAGAGCACACAGATGCAGCCCTTGTAAATATGTATTAAAAAAAATAGATATGTAAATAGAGATGCAGGATTTTAAATCTGATCAGTGCATTAACAAACACAAGTTGTCACCTGTTTGAGTCTGCCCCACCAGAGATGACGCTGTCTGCATCAGTCACCAACGACAGTGTTGATCCTCGATGACTGAAGCTCAGATCAGCTAATAAGGGAGCGAGAAGAAGGTATTACCAGTTACTTTCACTACTTGTATCTTAAAACAAGCATTTACCTTACTAGATAAGCCACACAAAATATTGTTAATTCATAATGATTCATAAAACCCTGTTTATTAATTAAACAAAACAAAAAAAAAAGGATTGAAAAAAGCATGCCTATATATAAGAAATATCATCTTTATTCTATGGACTTTCTTTGCAGACTTTCTTTGCAGTTTGCATTATTGATAGATGTCATGCAGAGCAGGTAGGAAAGTTCACCTCCCCTGCAGGCTGCTCCTGAACTCTGGTTTTTGATTAACATTGACACCTTCAGAGAATCACCTGCATGACACACATGCGCACTCTTACAGGATGACACAGCAGGCCCACAAACAGGTGCACAAATGAAGACAACACAGGACACTACTCAAGTAAAACAAATGTTCTTACGAGTTGTGGATCCTTTAGGAAGGCTGCTGGTTTCTCCCCGATGCATGGATTTGGGTCTGTTCCTCCGAGGTTTGGTCCTGGTGCGAGGCTTGGTGAGACCCTGTTCTTCCATAAGAGCTTCTTGCTTTCTCCGCAGATACTCCTGTTTGATAAGCTCTCGACGGGCCTTCTCTTCTTCTTTACGAATACGGTCCTCCTCTGCTTTCCGTCTTGAGTAAATAGCACAAGAAGTAAAAAAAAATTATCTTTAATATTTTTTGGATCTTTTTGGACTTTCTGTGTTTGAATCTTGGCCAGAACATACCGAGCCTCATCACGTTTTATCTCACTTTCTGCTTCTTGCTGCAGTTTCCGGAGTCTAGCCTCCTCAGCTTTGCGCTGCTGTTTGAGGAGGAAGGCGGCACGGCGTTTTGCCATTTCATCCTCTGCCTTCTCATCATCCTGAAAAATTTTAAATAACAACACATGATGCAGATCAAACATGCAATGCCCTAGAACAACTCCCTTGAACCTTTCCTAATTCTTTAACATTAACAAATAACAATAACATAGTGAAGATCTTCTATGATGTTTTGCTTCTGTTGGAGTGACAGGATAGGACCATCTGTGAGCTATATGACATAATTTTCACTCTCAAGGCAAAGCTCCGAAAAATTTATTCCTTCTTTGGAATGAAGACCAGTTCTATTATCCAACGGTTTCTTGACCAAAAGACAGAAACAATCAAACATGATTTTTCCAACTTCTACAAGACTGTATCGAATCTGACTGCTTTTGCATCCCTTCTCTTCAGCATCCTCATAACCAGTGCTACTTCAGAAAGAATGCTTTCCCACATGACTGCAGCCTAGAGTGAGCAGAAGAACCATCGCTGTTGGAGCTCATCAAGAGGGATACTCAAGTCAAGACCAACTTTGCAACTTTGCAATACAGTTGCAAAGAATTCTACAGCTTTGCACTTAAGCAGAAGGCCTTATTAGAAGCTGCACGCTCAAGCCAGCAGTATAAAGCCAAGAACATCTAAGGCAAGATAGCTGTCTAAGATATAGATTAGAATATTGTGAGCACTGAGCCAGAGTGGTGCTGGATTTTAAGACTGTGCTCTTTTCTTGTGTTTCACAGGCAGGTGCTTTCTGTGGTGCTGAAAGTGCATTGTCTGTGATGGAGAGAACTGAAAGACGTTTGACTGACAAAACATTTAAAAAAAATAAAAAATCAGCCAGTTTCTCTCCTTGGTGCTGGAAGAGCACTGATTTCTACTATGATGGAGAAAAATTGAAGAAATGTTTTTATTTCATTTAAGTTCTTTTTTCCTTCTGACCAGTTTTGAGTCATATTTCTGGTTTTGTTCATTTTTCTTTGGTTAAAATTGTCCAGTAAATGAAGATCATTTCCAAAAACATATATTTTATGCAGTTAATCTACAGGGTGTGATTCCTAGCTGAATGGGTTTTGTTTTTTTCAGAAATGTAACCTACAGTATTTCAGTGCATGTTCTACTTAAATGTGTGGTTATGTATATTGTTCTACTCGAGAAAACTCTTTATGTGGCGTTTGGAGATGTCCTGGTATTATGTTGTTGCTCCATGTTGTTGCAGAGTTGAGGAGTGGTGGCCTAATGTTTAGTGCATAGAGCTTGGAATCCTGAGCTTCTGAGTTCAAGCCCCACTCCCAAAGACTGCGACTCTGGGTCTCTGAACAAGACTCTTAACCCCACACTGCTTCCTGGGTGCCACCCAATGAAATTTCTCCAATGTGAGATTAGTAAAGTTAAATTATTATGAGACAAGGCACATTAAAATACTATATTTGAAAGAACAATTATAAACCTGACCGTTCTGTTTGATTATACACAGTCAGGTGTGTTAACTTAAGGCACTTTGAAATAGTATGAAAGCTCCTAGATTACTTTGTTTTCTCATGTGAGAGAACTTGGAAAAGTTTAATAATGCAATATATTTGTTATGTTTTTAATTGCAGGTTTTTATGTACTACTGAATCAACCAGATGGCAAAGCATAGTAATGTTATAAGCAAAGGGGCAAAACAGAAATTTTAAAGTTCTTTAAAGTTGTTTAAGACCTCCTTGATGCATTGATGTCTCACATTGTCACACAAAAACATGTTCTTTGTCCCACATGTGGTGAAATGGGATCTGTTCACCCTAGTTGCGGAACCCTGTCCCAGTCAAAGTCCAAACCAAAAAACCCCAAAACAAATGCAAGGAAGAACGCAAGAAAATAAAAATGCAGTGTCCTCCACTCGCTAGAGGTGCAACCCGTGTAGACAAATGCTTACTTTCACCTGTAATTGTAATTAAAGGTACTTTACCCAGTGCTGACTTATTGGGGCTTAAAAAAATATACACAGTCTATTTTGTTTCATTTTAAAGACCTTGTATCCTTTACCTGAACATCACAGTTTTACATTGCATGTGTTGTCTATCAAAAAAAAAATCCCTTTAAAAGTAGTTTGTAGTTGTAATGTAACACGTTATTTAAAAGGGGTGTGAAATGTTGAGAAGTCAAAGAAAGCTACCGTACATGTCAATAAACAACAACAAAAATAATAACAGTTGGATTTACCTTAAAGAAGAAGCCTATTACACCTTTCTGCTCGGCTTCTGCTGAGCTTTCTAGGACATCTGCGCCGGCATCCTCCACTGGATCCTTTAGCTCTGACAGGTCCACCTCGATCAGCTGACTCTTGATCCTGGCGCTCTCATCGGCACAGTCATTCTGTTTGCTGTAGTTGGCTGCTTGGTCTACCTCTTGTTCTGCTTCCAGTGATGCAGATTCAGATGTCTTGAACATAACTTGCGAGTTATGTGATTTTAGTTTGCCTGGAGAGTGCGCACTTCCCTTTTCAGTGCTTCCATGCACTCTGAATGTAGCACTCCTCTGAACGCTCTGTACTTCAGCAGCACTGGCTGTCTCCAGTTCTTCATCATTAGATTCCCGTGAAGAAGTCGTGATTACCTGGAGCGGGTCGGTGGACTTACTTAAAGCCGGTTTGCTTTTTTCTTTCATTTGTTTGCGCTCTGCTACTTTGTGTCGTTGGCTGGAAGTAAGTTTGGGAGGACGGCGGGAAGGCATCGAACTACTGCCACCGATATCTACAAAGTGAGCTGCAAAGGCTTTAGAGTCTGAGGTAGAGGATACTGTTTGGGGTGTATTTGGATCTATCCCGGAGTCTGTGCTTTTATCTGTTTGTGCATGCTCTGGTGGTGAGACCACATTTTGTTTCATCAGAAAGTCTTGCTGCAAGGAAAGCTGCATCATCTGTTGCTGGATAGAGCTGATAGCTTGATTGAGTAGATCTATAGAGTGGGAGCATTCATTGAAATCTGGTTCAGGACTGTTATCCTGAGAAAGAGAGTTCCAGCTCTTGTCTCTGTTTATCGGCCGTCCCTCTGTTTGACTTTTCAGAGCATCGAGACATAAATCATCTTTACATGACTGCGGCTTTGCTTTCCTCCTCTCTGTAGATGTTGATCCAGTAGACTCCTTGGACTTTTTTAGGGGTAAAGGAAGTGTGTCGCTCCTTCCTCCACCCTTCTTTACAATATTCAAAAATGCAGCTTTTCCAAGCTTTAGTCTCTGCTTAGCTGACAGGGCTTCCATCTTCTTCTTCTGATATTCTATTGAACGTCTCTGCTCTTCCAGCTGCATGTGAAGCTGAAGCAGCTCTGAGGGAACAAAAGATCTAACAGTTATATTCTTCCCCAACATGGGATTAGAATCCTTCACATGCCATGGAGGGGGAATCTCGGACCCATCAGGTGTGGTCTTTTGGGAGCTACTTGTACTTGAGTATCCCTCACGAAGGCCAAGTTTAAGAAGCTTTTTCTCTGCAAAGCTGGTCATTTTGACTCCTATGCTACCCGAGGCGCTGCAGCTGCTCGCCCACGACACGGTGCTGGGACAAGGGCTTGAACGTCCGCTTGCATCTTCTTTATCCTCATGCTCGCTTACCTTCAAGTCCTCTCTAAGCTTTGCCGACTCAACTTCTCCATTTCCAAATTCATCGATGTTGCTCTTGTCTAAACGATTCACCCTCAAAGTCTTCTCCAGCTCTGTCTGGTCGTCCTCCTCATCGTCTTCCTCGAGGTCAGCAATGTCGGAGTCCGAGTCTTGCCCTGCTTCTGTGACAGCTGAGATATGAATGTGCTTTTCTGATTCAGCCCCCAAGTGAAGAAAAAAGCCTGGAGACTGGGGGGCATCAACTGACCCCTCGACAGGGGGCCTGGGAGAAGTGAGTACTGAATCAACCACGGGGAACTTCCTTTTTGAGGAGTTTGGTATATTTGTAGGGTTTTTTTTCACTGCTGCTACTGCCCTGCAGTGATTCTCCCCACTTTCCTCCTGCTTGTTCACTGATATACACTTCTCCTTGGCTTGCTTTGGGACAGTTGGTATCAAAGGTTCCAGATAGTAACCTCCCGCCTGATGGTCATGACCAAATGGACTTGAGTCATGACGGGCAACATGAGAGCCATCAGAAACCCTGCTGAATGACGGTCCAATCTGTGCTTCCAGCTCATCCTGCTCCATTTCGCTCACGATTCGACGTCGAGAAAGATTGGATGGATGAATGACAGCAACCAGTTCCTCCTCCTCAAATTCCTCTTCTTCGTCCTCTATGCGCATGTGGCTGAGAAGGCTTTGGCCACTGAGTCTGTGAGGCAGAACTGATCCTAGCTTGTGTTTCGGGGTCATGCTAATGATGTTAGAGGCCAAACTGTCCTTGCTGATGGACCGAGCGAGGCTAATGCTGTCCTCATTATCTTCTTTGGCAAAATGCACTGCATACGGCACTGGCTGAGACAAAGGTCTAAGCAGGGAAGAGTGAGATGATGGGTTAAAACCATGAAATTGGTTTTCAACACCCACTTTCACTTACAATTAAAACCGAGAAATGCCTTTAAACAGAAGTAATCATTGCCTCACCTCGCCCTTCTTTCTGGCCATGCCAATATGGAGTCTTGACGCTGTCCATCTGTTTGCACAGTGGAGTTTGGCCTGTTTCCTACATCTTGAGAAGCAAAACCTTAATCATATTAAAAGAAATATTTGTTAAATCTGCAAAATCACTAGTCACTTATTAGGAATTTAGGAGATTTAAAAGATGGACTCAAATCTGATCAAAAGTTCAGGTCTGAAATGTGTAACAAACTCACTAATATAACTTTTCATAGAAGTAGTTAGTCGAATAAATATAAAAGAACAAAAGTCAGGTGCCTAAAGACTGTACGTTTTTAGCAACCTTTTTTTGGGGGCAAAAACAAAAATACAAGTATTCTGACCGCTGAAACTTGTTTACATTTTGTCACCATACAACCAGAGTTGATAATTTTTAACAGGTTTGTATTGGAAAGATCAACACAAATCGGTGCACATCTATGAGGTGGAAGAAAAGGATACATATCCTGCAGAGTCAAAGCTTTTTAAAATCACCTTTTTGCGGTCATTTGCACAAAGTCTTACGGGGAATGTCTTTGCCAGGGTTGCACCTCAAATATTAAGTTTTTACCCCTTCGTCTTTGTAAAATACCAAATCCTCCGTCTTCAAAGTTTTTTTAAAGAGACATTATGTAAGTTTTTAATGGAAAACATCTTTAAAATAGCCTTTTTAAAATATTTTTGACTAAAACATTGTTTGATGATCAGACTGACACCTCAGTAGTTCAGTGCTGATGCAAATATAAGCTTGTAGCCTATTTTCCTGAATTTACTTTTAGTTGGAAGTCCCCTCACCGTTCGGCGGATAGTCAAGCACGTCCATGTTAAAGGTATCCGACGTAACAGACAATCAAAGCAGTATATTAAAGATGGATTTTGTGGATTCAGCTAAACTAAGACACCGATGGAAACTCCAAGTGAGGTACAAAACTAAAAAAGAACCTTGTTAAGTATGAGCGTGGGCCTCAAAAATGAGCAGAAGACTGCTGCATTTCTGTGTTTTGGCAACAGGTAGCAATATTATTTAAAAAATCTTTAAAGTCTCATCCAAGTTTTTTTCTACACTCTATTGCAACCCTGGCTGTACATTCAGTGATGCTGTCCTGCTGGGAGGTGAAACTCTAACTACACCTAAAGTCTTATGAAGCCCTTCCAAGTTTTTTCCAGTTTAAATCCATCCTTGTCATTCTCATATTTCGAATACAGATTGAACATTGCTTCACGGTGGTGTTCATAGCTGTAAATACTTTGATAAAACTTAATCCTTCTCGGCATGTTGATCCATGACCTGTTCTGTGAGTTCTTTGGTCTTCATTAATGTTTTTCTTTGTAATTTTTTTCAAACAATCCAATAACACATTCCTGGAAAGGAAGAGCTGAATACATTTGTTTGGAATATCTTTAAAACACATAAAAGTTGTAGGTCTTGATTTATTCATCCTATTTCTTCATTTTTTGCTGCTGTTGGTGCGTAGTAAATATATCTTTATCAATATTTGGGACAACAGAATGTGCAACAATATGTGACGTGGACTACCTGAAGGGCCCCTCTCAACAGCGTTCTCTTGTCTCCGTCTAGGGGGCGGTAAGGACTGAGATGGGCTAGAGGGTGAGTTAGAGCTGAAACCCCAAAAAAAACAAAACAGTTATAAATATTATATCTAAGATCATTAATTACAGAGATAGTCTAAGAAACATATTTTCCATCCATTATATGTCTAATTTAACCTATTTGTACAAATCAGTTGATTTTATTTCTGTTTTTGTGTCTTGAATAGCAGTACAGTTGTTTAGTCCTGAAGTGTGGGGATTAAGAACAGCTCATACAAATGTACATCTCACACTACATACTCATTTTGCATGATAAACCTTTATTTTAGTAAAGATATACAAATTGTCAAGTAGAATTTAAAATGCAAAAAAGCCAGACAAAAGCATGCAATGGAAGTGAACTACAGTCTTAAACAAGAGTTTTTTTCTGTTGCAGTTTATTAGAGACAGCATTTTTGCTTAATACCTTGGCTCATTGCTGTGGTTTGTGATGAAGATGTCAGCTGAGTTTGACGTTGGCAGGAAGCTTTGTTTGGTGACATTTGAGATGGGTACATGAGACCGTGAATTTCTGGGCTGCAGCAGCACTCTCACTAGAAAAAGCAAACAAACAAAGAGACAGATTTATAAGCAAAACAAACCGACAGGTTAATAAAGTTGTTTATATTAATTAGCTTTCATCTAAATTAGTTATGTAAGCTTAAAGCGGAACGCCGTTTTTTTATTTTTTTATTTGGCCCATTTGGAAACGGCGTTCCCCTTTAAGAAAATCTATAATGCAACAAAGTAATTTTACCATCTTTGACCTCCTGAAGGTCTCTGGGGTGAACAAAGTCTGGCTTCAAATTCTCAAACCACCAGAAAAGCTCAGCAATGAAGACCATCACATTATTCTGCAAGACAACATTTAATAATAATAAAAAATAGGTGACTTTTTTAGGCTACACAAAGCTACAAATCTCACAGTCTGCATATTTCCCTGAGGCTGTCTACATTTCAGTCAGTTAGTTAATGCCAAACCAGATCTATACTACAGCCCAGTGTAACTCCAATGACACTTTTCGAATTTACCTTCAGTAAAGGTGGTGAGTAGAGAAGATCCTCTGGATTCAGATAGAAGCACTGGTTCAGATATTCAACAGAAAACTCTTTTAGCAGATGGATGTTGTACAAGCTGTCTGCTATGGAGGGAACTTCCTTCAAGCAGATATCTGCACACAAGCATGACAAAATAATTGTCAATAATTTGGCAAAAATTTTGTCAATAATTAAAAATTGTCTACTTTTCAGTAAAATTATTTTTCTTATTATAGACATTTATATTATCTTATATGACATACTAAAGGTATTTAGAAGAGAAAATGTTTATTACATATGCTTTTAAAATCAGCTATACTACTCAGCTCTAAACAGGGAGAAGCATGTAACAATTTTGTGCTTTGTGTCCAAATTTTAAGAATGAAAAGATTGTTCTCTAAAAACGAATAATACCAATTCTATTTGTGTTAATCGTGCACATTCAAAGTAAAGATATTTCAATATCAATTTGTTTGAAATTAGTGAAGCCATATTGCAGTGAATCCTAACTCATCGCCTCTGCCTCTAGAAAAAGGATAAACACTTAAAAGTTCTCTGGTGAAGGGGTAACATAATATCTGGTGTGATCTTTTTATATAGTTTCTATAGATAATTTATAGCTAATTTATTTATAAAAAATGATAGATATAAATCAGCATCAGCAAGAAAAAGCTTTACAAAGACGGGATGGATAAATTATACCACAAAGACTCTGAAAACAAATATTAATTTCTAGAGTTTTATATAACTATGCCAATATTTGAGAATAAAACATTGTTAAATCATGTTTAAGCTGTTTTGATTATTAAACGACCTAATGTCCCAGCTGCACTTGAATGCAGCATGCACAGCTTTAAGCGAGAATCCCCTTTCGCCGAGGAGGTTTCTTCAAATTGTATTGCATAAATAGTTCACATAAAGCTGTGAGTCTTATCTGTTTGGGTTCAGCACATAAACAAATTACACGTGTTAAGGTAAAAATCAACACTGTACCTGTTTGATAAACTTACTGTATGTACAGAACTAACTGGGTTCTACTGGGTATCTTGGGTATGAATATGTGAACTGGTACACCCCTAATATGTGGATGTTTCTGTTTTTTCATGTGATGACTTTATTTCTAATCTAGAAATGAGCAAATATTTTGTCAAAAAAAAAAAAGAAGAAAAAATAAAACATCTAACCTTCAAGTCTAATAAGATCCGGGCAATAGAAGTGGATCAGAACAAGCAGGGCTGTGCCGTCACTCACATCCTTCAATAAGTCTTCCAACAAGGGGAAGTGCTGAAGAGTGCGACCTGAGAGATGATCTCTGCGGTACCGTACCTACATAATGGAGGAGGAGCCAGGTTAACAGAAGAAAGACAACCTTATCTAAACAAACAGAAAGCCAGAGGTCCACGTTTCACACATAAGCACATTTCCAACTTTCTGAAAACTCTGCTCCCTCACTTTAACATGCATACAGTGGAGTTCCTTTCTCCAGGTGGTTCTGAACCGTTTATAAAAAACTCATATTTTGTATTATATCAATTCACTCTGGGTTTTGTCATTTTGGCAGGTAAAAACTAATCAGCCTTCACCTATGAGAACTGGCATCATGTCAGCAGTATTTCGTTTTAAAGATGAATAACTAAAAAACCACATTTAGGGTTAATGGAGATAAAAGGGAGAGACAATCCAAGGTGAAAAATAAACAAAAAGGGGTCAATGATGAGTACATTACCACGCAAGGGAACTCCAGAGGCTCCAATAAACAATAGGCCAGAGCATGCCATAAATCAGGCTGGTGAGGGAAGACAGAAATAATTGGGTGGAAGTTAACAATGAAATGAAACAAGCAGTGGGTGGGCATGTGGAGCCGTCTGAAACTGGACTCTATGCATGCTGCTTTATGGTAACAGTTGGGTTGAGGATATTGTAATGGAGGAAAATGGATGTAGATAGAATTGCTGTGGGGCTTAAAAATAAAGCAGACCAACAGAGAAAGAAGTGGTGGTTTCGTCTTTTGCCACTAGGTGGCACATAGTCACCTTCCTTGTACACCTTACACTGTAAGGCTTACAGTATCTGTTGTGTTGTATTTATTATGTTTTCTCCTTCATAAAGCCTTTTAAAGCTTATTTTAACTCAGCTTTCCAAGTAAGTGCTTAAGTGAGAAACTTAAATACACAAAACCAATTCAGACGACATGCAAACACTCACACATATAGGAAACATTTTACACTTACAGGTACCAGCTTCCAGTACCATTTGGAGGGGGACTATTTTCCAAGAGGCACACAGGGAGAAGGATTAGAGGGACACAAACAGTAAGAGCGGCAGGCAAGTCAGGGTTTAGATAAAAGGACACAAAATCAGAGTTATCTCTAAAAGAGATAGGTCTGATACTAATGTATACGGACGATGATTAGACTGAAAATAATCACAGGCAATGTTATTTCAAATACAGGTAACCAATTTCACAATACAGGCAAAAATCCCCAAATTAGAATCCCATAATTCTACATTGTGTTTTGATGTGAAGTTGTGTCATTGCCACAAACTCATGAGAACATGACATGACATGACCACAAGACGCCAAAAAATCACATCAAATAGGCTGGCTGTTACACATTACTGAAAAGTCGAGGGCTTCCAGAAAGCCCATATTCTTATCTTCAGGTAACACAGAGTACATGTCAGATTAAATAATACTACTTATACTTCAGCGATGGTATCTGGGTGTTACTTTGTTGTATGTATGTCTCGTAACATGTCTGTTGGTTGTGCTGTTCCTTTTGCATCTTTTTGAAGGTGATGAAGCAGACTCAGGATGTTTTGTCGTTGTCTCCCTTTTGTCTCCTCTTTCTTTCATCTTTTCTCCTTTTTTTTCTGTTTTTCCTTTCCGGTTCTACTTACATTGCAGTGTCCATATAATCTGAAAAACTCCCTGCATAATTATAATAATTTGTACACATAAAACAAGCAGAGCACTATGGCGATAGCCCTACTGCTCCTCTTGTAAAAGTAAATCTGTTGGGCTCTTTTTGGCATCAAGACAATTATCCTTATTGCCACATTACCAGACAGGGCACTATTAAAAAAAAAAGTTGAGGGCAAAGGAAAATGTATGCTTAAAAAATGTGCAAAAGCAACAGGAATAACTGTGAACTTTCTGAGTTCATATCTATACCCTAGAAAAGCAAAAGTCCTTAATTAATAGATAAAAAGTTCCTAATCCCTCAAATCAAATCAATAAAGAATAAAAAAAATGCTATATTTGCATTTGTTTAACAGAAAATGGTAAAGATTATTTTTTTCAATCAAATAAAACTACCTTTACATATTACATATTTCATTCCCAAAATTATTGTCTGCATTAAAATTTCACTTTTGACTTTTCAAATTCTTTCAGTCTTTAATCTTGATAAAGCAATGAAATAGTACTTTATCTTACAAGGTTTTTGCACCTTATAAGGGCTGCAAATGCTTGTAAAGGGTTTTGTCCATAAAGGGTTTTGTCAGCAGAAATTCTAAAGTTTGGAAGACAGTTTTAATGATATTCTGAGTAAATGAATGAGAATACAGGCAGATAAAATGCCGAAAGTTAAATGTCATTACTAATCAGTTTGTTTTACTGTCACACTGTCATGATCTTGGTACTGATGACTGGCTTAATTATTTATTCAAATTCACCTGTCCCACACTGCTCGGTTTCTAATCACTGCTCATTTGATCCACCTGCTCCTGCCTCTACTTAAGGTGCTTGCACCCAGTCATCGGCGCCAGATTATTCTTGTTCTCTCTAGCCAATGGTGAGTGTTTTTAGCTTTACCTGAGTGTTTCTGATTAGCTGATCCTGACTTCTTCCGCCTCTCAACCTCTGAACCTGCCTGTTTCAGTCCTGATCTATTTGCCTGACCTGGCTTTGGATTCCTGAACCTTTGATCCTGCCTATTCTGATCTGTCTTCCTGGCCCAGCTTTGGACTCCTGGATCCTATTGTTTTCTCTGGGCATGGACTGAACTGTTAAACTAGAGTTTCCTGCCTCAGATGCCTAGCTGCTGCTACTACAGTTCCGATTTATTAAGAAACATTTTTAAAGTAATCCTTATGTCTATCTGGCCTTGAATACTGGGTCCTCTGTTCTGAGCCTTGAATCGACTTTAGAGGTACTTCAACCACAAAGCAGCAGATTTAAAACAAATTACACAACAAATAAAAGTACCACATGGAGTCACATGCTGCCAGACACTAATATAAGGTGTCCATAATGCATGCCTACTCTGTGACATGCCATGTTTGTTCTAGTACATTTAAAAAAAGCACAACTTCATTCGTGAATAAGGACACAATTCAATACTCAGCCTTTTTAAACAGTGGAGTGACATGAGAAAACAAAAAATCATATACCTTATGGTGACCTGGTGACTCCATGAGGTGCTGCTTCATTTTATTCTCTTTTTCTGTCAGCTCCTTCATCTTCATGTTGACCTAAGGTAAAGAAAATAATAAATACAGTAAGCTGAAAGTGTTAAAAAAAATCCAAAACCTGAACATATTTGCCTGGTTAAAACCTTGTTAATCCAAAGGATCATAGCATCTTCCAGGTCATAAGGAAGCTCCTTGGAGGCAGTGATGTTTGAAAATCGCTTCACAGACGACACCACTTTCTCTGTGCTGATCATTCCTACCGTATAGGCCATCATCAGAGCATCGATCAGGTGGACGTGGGAATTCTGAGGGGACAGAGATTTGGATGATTTGTAGATCTGTTTTACTAAGTACATAGAAAAGCTATGATGCTATGATCATGTATTTACCCCACTGTGGGAGAGGGTTAAACAACCTCACTGTGGACAGAATCCCCATAAATAACCATGTTGCACATTGAGCCTAATAATTATTTGATAGTTGGTTTCTTATATTATCAGACTCAAAAACCACCAAAACTGTCAGATCTGATTTTAAATGATTGACTTCCAATAGCTGAATGTGGAGTTTGACCTACATAAAAAAAGAAATTATTTCACTATTTTCAGTGTATTATTGGACTAAAAAACACATATTCTAATGAATGTCTGATTAATACACCACTTTGGATCTTTAAATCAACTGAATAAGTTTTATATCACTTTTATGGCACTTTGAATTTGTATACAATCAGTGGCTCACAATCCGAATGACCAGCAGGAATGTTCATTAGTGCTGCTAATGAGCGACTACTTGTTGTCTTTATAATTCAAATTCCTTGTTTGGTTCTGTTGGAGCCACAAAGGACCTATGGAGCAGCAGGTTTCAGACTCACCCACTGGAAGAGACGTGGTTCCTCTTTAAGAAGCTTTTAAAACACTTCAGTAAATAATTATTCTTATAGAGACTTTTTAGTATTGTTTAGAACCTCTGAATGAATTTCAGCCGTTTCTTTTTAAGGAACTTTTTAACGAGATGTTCCACAGGACCTTTTAGATGTGTGTTAAACTCTTCATTATTTAATACATAATTGGACAAATTAAGTTAGCAAAAGTGTCTCTAAAAGGTTGTGTCTTTGGCTGATTTTAGCAGTTGCAGTTTTTGTTGTTTGCGCTTTTGACAGAGTCAGGACGAATTACAAACCATTTTAATAGGAAAGGAGCTGAGATCCCGATCAGACACTGGTGTGTTGTTGGTCTCCAAGACATAGATTCCTTTCCTAGAGAGGGCTTTGATGACAGACTGGTGGCTTTGCAGGGAGGCGGCCTGTTCAGCTGGAAGGATGAGCCCACACACTCGGCTGTAGAGCTCTCCAGACAGCAGCAGGTTGATGATGGGGGGCTTGATGTGCTCCTGCTCATACTGGTCTGTATAAAATGGATCCCGAAGATCTGTAGGGATGTTATCTGTAAAACGGAATGCCAATGACAACTTTTATTGTTTTTGTTGTTTGTTTGTTTTTTTTACAGAATGCTTTGTCTGGGTTTTGTTCTTTAATTTAATGTAAAGAAAGATATATCTTTGCAATAAATATCCTAACAGTTTGCCCCATCACCCACATAAGTTTTTCCTTTTCACCATGTTACATAACCACACAGCATACAGACTGAAGAGGAATTAGACTGTCTGGAGAGGAATAAACACAGCCCTAGGGCAAACTCAGATGCTGAACATGTCAGGTTGTAAGTCAATGAGTTAACAGACTTAGGACCGATGTTTAAGCTGGTGTTTTCCTGCTCATGGACACACACGTTAGGTGGTTATTTTTATATTCTTAGACTTGTTAATCCAGATTTAGAGGCTGCAGGATCTTTAGCTTCCAGCACGTTCGGTTCTGATGCAGAGCAGCGGTGACAAGAACAGAGCTGTTCTTGTCAAGCAAAAAAATAGAGACAAACCTTCTACTATCAGCAAAATACATTTGATTTAAACAGTGAATCAAATGAAGTGATATATAGGACTCAAGACTGCTTCAGTATAACATGTGTTTTATTGATCAATAATAGAAACCCAGGCCAATTTAAATTGTCTTTAAAACCAAAAAAGGTTTTTCAGCACAATAACATGCTTTAAGAATTTTTTTTCTTTGCACAAATAAAACAAAGAGCACTGTGTTCATTTTTCAAGTCTGAACACGGGCAGACCAGCTGCTTCCTTTTGGCTCTAAGCAGGAAGTGAATCTCACAGCCGATCATATTATAGAGCAAGACTTCTTTCCTGTCACACATTTGACAATTTTAACATTGTTTATATCAACTGAGCTTGCTGTGCCATTTGGAGGTCAGGGTAAATATTTGTCACTAGAGGTACCTTAATTTTTTCTGACATATGTAAATCTATTGATTTTATGCATTTTATGTTGGGAAATGTTATGTTTTTTATGGATTATGTTTTTGTCAGAAGCTGCTATTTTGCAATAACTTTTGTATGTTTTTTTCTGATTTTAGACTTAATGAAAAAAAAATGCACATAATTTTATATTTTTGTCTGTTTGGTCTTTTTTTTTTACTTTAATTGCAGAATTATCCTCAGTTACTCATTGCTTAAGTAGCTTTTTTAACTAATACTCTTTTACTCTTAATTGAGTGACAGCTATATACTGGAGAAAAAAAACACATTGCTTTTAAAGTTTATATGTAGCGGTGCATTGAGATGCCCTTTTACAGCAAAAAGAGAGAAACAACACTCTGAACATTATTCCTATTTAATACAGACAGTTTTTGTTAATAGAGAAGACATTTTATTTTATGTTTTCTATAAGTCAATAATTTCCTCTGTCTCCTACACCACATCTGAACACAATTTACGCTGTTGTTAGAACAATTGCTATACGAGCAGGAGCATGTAAGAACATATGTCTGGTTTGAGAATTAGACACATAAACTGTCATTTGGTCAATTTACATTTGTAATGAACAATGCAAACAGCTTTATATAAAAATCGCAGCAGTTTCATGGGAAATATCTTATTTTGACTCAAAGCTTTTTGTTATATTACTGTTTTCTTGTGTAACCAAAAGCCAAAAAATTGACAAACAAGGAAAATAAGTTCAGCTACCAAAAGAATAAAATGGATAATATTTGTCTTCACAAGTATGTATATTATTAACTACCCATATGAAAACAAAACTCAGTGAACAACAAAAGCACAGCAAGAGTGGACCTAAATAACAGAAATCTGTGCCTTTATCAACCCACTGCATGCTGGACACAGTAAACACCACACTTTCCTTCTGGCTCAGAGCTGATATAGTTGTACATATGAGTATCCAAGACCCTGTATATAAAATGCTCTTTGCACACTACATCAGGTTTGATTAAGTCTGCCTAGGTTTGCTCCAGCTCCACTCTGCCTCATCCTCAGCTACCCTAAATGTCCCCTTGTCCTTTCTTGGTTGCCGTGGTGATGGTTGATGAGGGGAGAAATGTCAGCATGGCTAATAGTGGGGGCTGGGATGCTGTCCCATCTTCTTCTCATTTCATCCTTTTTACGGTCTGTGACTTTAGGAAGTGTGTTTGTGTGCAGTTCTGCTCTAATCCTTGCTGCTCGATATGGACCGATCTGATCGAAGCATCACAGCCCACCCTGGTGAGCGTGTGTGAGGGGAATTAAGAAAGGTTGTCTTTGTGTGGCTTTATATAAGGAGAGTCTTTGTTCCAGTTCACGCGCTGTCTCAGGCAGGACACAAACATCTTACCAACGGATGATGCAGGGCTTTCAGACTCTGGGCAATGAAGCAGAATAATGCAGCTCTTCGATTCCAGTAAGACAGCTTAATGAAGAAGAGGGCATGCTGAAAAAACACAATCCTTACAATGCACACGTGGACACGTCTAAAGGCTTTACCTAGCAGGCCTAAAGCCAACCTAGCAGCTTTTTCAATTTAAATTAGGTGTACCTCTGGAGAAAGGTACTTAATATTAGAAAAATTATAAACATGTAGCACCTCTGATACAGTTTTTTTTTGTGTGTTTTTTTACATTATCATGGAATAATTTTTTTACATTAGAAAATTATTAATAAAAAAGCTTTAGAATCAAAATTGGATAAAAAAAAAACTTCTGGTACATAATCTAGTAAAATATGTCTCCATTGGGCGGGAATTAGCATGTTATGAGTGTAAACAAGAAGGCTTTGTTGAACAGAACACAAGCCTTCAGGTCCAATCCCATTAAACACTTAAACATGTGACTGGCTGACTCTGACTTTCACACCAGATTAAAACAAAGACAGTCCTCCTAACACCCCTGCATTTATGTTGAGGTTTGCATTTAAAGCTGATATGTCCTAAACTCTACCCTACGCAACCAGAAATATGTTCAATTTGATCAAATTAAACAAGTCCAACCAGGTTTATTTTGCTGCCATTTGCCACATATTTGACAATTCACCGATTCCTTTCTTAGGCAAGAAAAGATAAGTTATTAGAAATATAAAGGTGTTAGCTGTGGAAACAAAGAAACAACACACTATGAGCACAGCAGAAGACAGAGATAAAACTCCAGCTTTGATCTCACAAGTGAACTGCAATCCTGAAATATTCAGCAGACTCTGCGTTTGTCTTCAGCCTCACTCTATTCCAAGCAACTAGAATATATTTCAAGTAGTGAAACTGATCATTTTAAAAGGGTGGAAGCATCATTCTATGAAGCATGAAAGGAGTAATAACTAGAGGATGTTGAATTAACTTCAACATCCTCTCAAATTAAAGGTAAAGTGGAGGATTTTTGCGAATTTTTGAAAAGACCCTCCCTCTCCACTTTTAAAGAAAAATTAACATGCATAACCCTGTACCCGCACCCAAGAAGGAGAGCTATTAGATGCATGCGAGAGCGTGCACTAGCCCATTTCTCCTTGTGCACGCTCTGTTTTAAAGTTGCTGTTTGCATCGCTCATACAAGCTTACTTTCCAAAAGAAGATTTGCAATTTTTCCACTATGTTAGACTCATTACCGGTAAGTGAAAATGGGGACGAGCACATAGGACGACCTTGCAGAAACATATCACCAGTATGATTGACCACTGGTGGACCACTTATTTTGATGATCCACTCGGAAATCTTCCTCCACTATACCTTAAACAATCAAACGGCTGAATGAATCTCAAACACGCCTCAGAACTGGATTTAGAATGAATAACGAAATAAAAAGGTGAATTAAAATTGAGATTAAAATAATATTACTCCATTGTATTCTTTGAACTCTAAAAGCTTGTCAAATAATCAAGGACTAAGAAACTGAACAGAAGTGATCTATGGCTTTAAATGGTGTAGCTAAGCCCCAATGAGGATTTCATAGCTTTGGTATATCATGAGATCACCAGAGGAACTCCTCTGGAAGCAATTTAATAATAACACTGCAAACACTGGAAATGAATAAAACAAGAAAGAAACAACAACACAAGTCAGATTATTGATTCTGTTCGATTTCAAATGCCTACAGAAACCACTTTCATCTTTTTAAACACTTTCAAGTAATTAGAAAGTTCAGGAAGAAATAATTCTATGCTGAGATAAAAATCCCTGAACAGCCTCTCAGAGAGAAACTGGTCGTTGTTCCAAAAGCCACATTAAAAACAACATAAAGTTTGCAAATGCACAAAATAATAAAAAATGGATTCATCTCCTTTAGTCTGTTCACAAGTGTTTTTCTGTAAAGGGTATAGTTAAACTTAGGGGAAGCTTGCATGCCTGACAAAAAAAAAAGTATGAAGTAGGCAGTGTCATGTTGTGTGGTTCTTTTATGCCAGGATAGACCGTAGCACTTCCCAACATGGATGGCAGAACAAGGAAAGAATATTATACGGAAATATTGGAGCAACATCTGAAGACACTATCCAGGAAGATAATGGTGCAATGATCCTAAGCATCTCACCACATTAATAAAAAAGTGCCTAAAATGCAACATGTTTTCAGGTAGCTATTTGAAAAATCATTCTTTTTGTCTCACAGGAAGATCATGAGCACATCTGAAATGGTGCTTGAATAAGGCAGCCTAAAAATCCGACTCGGTTCCACCGGTTCTTTTTGGAAGGACAGATCCAATTTACAGTAAGTGTTTGGCTCACACAGTTTAAAGGCGGCCCTATTAAGCAGGAAAGGTTTATAAATTTCTGACTTTAAAGAAAGTAAAAAAAAAATGGCTCTGACTATTCTGTCTTTTAGCAAATATTAACACTTATGAGTGCCCTTCATTACCTAGACGGGGGGAAAAAATTGCAAATAGCAGCCAAATTGCTGAGCTCTCCTAAGCAGGATTCCAGTGGGAAAAGATTGTGTCTGTTATGGCTGAGTCATAAACTACAGCAACTTTTCTGTAACATGAGGACAGCCCCAGCATCTGCTTCCCAATCCAACAATGTTCTGCTGTGGCGTGTAAAAAGCAGCACTGACCTAGTCCTCAGAGTCCATGGCGAGCAAATAGCAAGTGGCACAGAAACCCACATAACAGGAGTCATTTCCAGACATCTACTAACCAGCACTGCACTGTAATCTGTATATTTCAGTAGTCTCATTTAGATCCAGCAATGTTACTGACCTCTCTATTAAAGGAGGAGACATATAGGCTGACTTCTCAGTCTCTAAGCTGAAGATTTGAAAAACTGCTCTCATTGTTTTTTTTTTTATTATTTAGAGGAAGCTAAAAAAAAAAAGTTGACTTTGATGAGTAATAAATGCTGTAAAAACATGTTATTATATTGGATTTAAAAAGAATAATGTATATAAAGATTTGGTCACAGAAATGTGCAAAATAAGATTTTATTTTTTTTTTATAATTTTTTTTCATGACCTTAATTATTAAACCTAAAATCAGCAGACACAGGGCTACAGTTTGGACAGGTCAGCAGCCCGTCACTGAGCAGAAACACAGAGCCGTCTGTCTACATTCAGAGTAAGAGAAGGCATTGATTCACAAATTAACCCATAAAGCATTTAAACCATAGAGGAGATCTCAGGACACAGTTGGAGCGAAGACAGACAAAAATCAGTACAAATCAGACCAGCACATCCAAATAATAATAAAAAAAGATGTACTTTTGGGATTTCTTTTATAAATATCCTTAGAGTAACCACACATAGTTAAAGCAGAGTAATGCTCCCAGGTGTAAATGACGAAAATGAGTCTCTAAAAGTCTGAATTATGTTTTTTATTTTTATTTTACTCAGCTAAATACTTTTTGGAGCAGCATAAATCTGATGGAAAATATAATAATCTAAACCCTGAAGGTAATATTATCAGAAAAGGTCAGCTAAGGCTCTGAAGCCTTGAACTTTAGCAGCTGGTAGATGCACAAGCTTGACTTCTCAAAAACAGCAAAACTATTTAGGTTATCAAAGATTAATGCAGCAGCAGAAAAAGGTTTAACCTCCTGCATTTGGTTTCTGCTTCTGTTTTTCTTTTCACTCTAAATTATCTACAAACTGCATGATTTTAATTCACAGAGCAAATTAGGGAAGTTTAATCATTTTAGCTGATAGCAAATCCCTTTACTGGAGCAGAAATACAAATTGTGTTGGATCAATTGATTCATTGATGTGTGCAGACATCATTTTTAAACTATTCCTTCCCATTCTTTATGGCATCTAAGTATTGAATTTCAGTGGACAGTGTTTGCATGCATACATACTTTAATTAAAACCCTTCCTTTACTGTTGGATCTACAAGTCCTGCTGGAAAGTTAAATCCCAGTATCAATCATTTTGCAGCTTTAAAAACGTTTTATTTCAGGATTTCATTGTGCATAACTCCATCTATCCTCAATATAATAATTTTAGACAAAGTTTCCTCGACCCTTCTGAAAAACACTGTTCTACTCTGGATTAATTAACAGGCATTAAAGTGAATGGGGCACCTGTGTGTACATGAAATCAAAATGAATAACTTTTAGGATCACTCCCTTATGTTCTTGTAACATACAAAGGGGTGGACTTAGAAAATTTCGGGCCCTAGGCAAAGACAGGCAGGGGACCTCTGAATTGAGAAGACAACACATAAAACCGACCCATTATACAGATACAGAAATTTGAATAGAATAGACATACATTATTTGTTCTACGTTTTGTTGTTGTTTTTCTTGTTGTTTTCCTCTCTATGTTTTGTTCACAGCTGACTTTTCATGCTGTCTCGAAAGGAATGAAGGATTTTTTTCCCAATCACTACACTCACTAACTGATTGCTCCTCCCTGTGTTTCCAAAAAGGCGACAGCAAAAGTAAATAACCCAGCCCTTCTTTTCACTGTAGACAAGCCATGATCTGCTTATCTGTTCTCCATTTTTCATTTGTATGAAATAATAGCTGCATGAATCATGACAGCAGACAAGATAGAGGAGAGCAGGAGGCGGGGTTACCAATCTACTTGCTCTAGAGAGCAGAGTTCGATGCTTTATATGTCGTTGCTTGGTCTCCAAAAGCAGAAAAAGTAGCTAGATTTGGCACTGAGACACACTTAATATTATAAGCATTCTAATGGCATTTCAGCGAAATTATTTTTTTATCAAAAACGTCATTAATCTGCACAAATAAGGAATAGTTATATTAACTATACATGTTTTATGGGGGCCCCAGGAACATACAGAGATGCAAACATATTTTCTTTTCTTTTTTCTGTACACATCAAGAGAGAAATGTCTGATTAAATAATTGCTCAAGAGTATGTGCAGGGAAGAACAGAGGGAGGAGAGATCCTTACCTATGCCGTAGGCTTTAGCAAACAACCAGCGTAGGTTAGCTTCTATTTTGGACCTGGCACAATCGTAGAGCTCCAGTGGTACAACCTGAGCCTCCATGCCTCCTCCTCCTGCTCCTCCTCCATCCTCCTCATCTTCAGCTCGTGCTGTTCTCCTCCAGGTGCTGTCCCTGCCAGCACTCACATCCATCCTGCAGGCAGAGACACAAAGATCTCCCAGCTAGTGGAGGCAAAGAGCATTACATCACCAGAGAACAAAACAAGCAGGGCCTGCTTCACCTGCTTGGTGATGTAAAATAAAATCAAATGAAATAAAATAATATAGATCTTCCAGGCTCGCCTCCTCTATCTCACTCCTCATAAGTAAATGCTTTAATGCAGTGATAATCAGATGGTGATGTGTCATGCTGAAGTCTGCAGATCATTGACAGCTCTTATTTATAACCCATCACTTTTGAACAATAAGGAACAGAGGTTCTAATGCCAGAATAAATAATTAAATAAATTAATTTAGCAAAGAATAGACAGTGCGTTATCCTATATAATCAATATTTTTTATAAATAGAGACTCACTTCTAAGAGCGCATTTGCGTCCTTGTGTATAGCCTCGGCTCTGCAGGTAGCTGTAATGTTAAAAAGCAGACATGCTGGGCCTGGATCCTCCAGCCAACGGTGGAATAACGGAGACTCCTCCCTGTCCAGCGACACAAATCTCCGGCCTGTCGGAGCGAAGCCGTCGCTGGATGTCCGTTAATCCAATGATGAAGAATAGCCTGTTTAGCAACCATCCGGAAGAACGTTCTGGTGGGAAATTGAAAGTGTAAACATTAGCTGCTTCATAAAGAAGCTGTCATTGCCCGGAGAAGTCAGCGGTCTACCGGTGCTAGAGGAGCGCTGTTGTAGGAGCCTGTATCTATGGGGACGGGTGTTACCTGCCTGGAATATACTGGTTTACCAGCTGAGGGCGCTGTTGTTCACGGGTTAGAGTGTCTCTCTATTTACTATCTGTAAGCAAAGATGGCAATTAGATTGAAAACTGTTGTTTTTGTGAGGTTGAAAGTGAAAGTCTGGAACACCTGTTCTTTGATTGCATTATAGTCCAAAGCTGTTGGCTTGATTTTCTGATGTGGATTCAATGTAAAGGAATTCAATTAAATAAATTTCAATGGTCTTGATTATGGTTCTGGATGGTTTATTTTCTATTTTTGCCAACAATTAAAGAGTACAATTTTTTCTGTTGTCCCACCCCTCTTGCACTGGTAAAAACCATAGGGTCTAAACCATAAATGCCTGCTGGTCCTTTCTCAGGCCCCTACACTTATAGAAAGTGGAATGATCCACATCACTTCCTGCCATACCTCAGAACAAAAAATAAATAAATAAGAAAAATAATGAAACAAAGATAAATAGAATTAACAATTATTAACCTGCAAATAAATTCTGTAAATAATAATAAAAAAAAAATACATTTAGGAATTAAAACAATTCAAATGGATAAAGAAATCAACAATAGATAGCTCCAACAGGCATCTTGCTTTTGTACTTTTGTACTATAAGCTACTAGAACCTCAATTTCCCCGAAGGAGTAATCCCAAGGGATAAATAATAATAAATAAGTTTTATGTGTAAGTCTAAGTATACATGTTTCCATTTAAGCCATGCCATGGATGGATCTTTTTTTTTTTATCTTATTCAACCTCTGGGATGATTTCATCCAGGATGTTGAGAAAAATATGTGCCTTAGCATCAATATCAATGTGTCAGAGTGTAGAATTGTATCTTTAGGTAGATGTTGATTGTAATTTCATTCAAAGCGGCTTAGTGTTTTGGAAGTAGAGCAAAACTAAAAATACTGGTCTTGTTCCCTCGGTTGGTTACCTTTTGCTTCCGCTTTATCAGAGGCTTGTAGTTTTAAAATTACAAAATACAAACAAGGTCAAAAGGTATGGATGCTTTTGGAGGCTGCTGCATGGGTTTGCTTCACACAGCTCAAATAATAAAAGCTTGGATAAAATTCAAATAATAAACCAAAACGTGAATTAATATAATTAATACACTCAATACTTTCACAACACAATGGAGTATTTTAATAAACTTTTATCAGAGTATTTTCATGAATATATTAGGCTGACACACCCTATGGCTTTATTTATGACTTGTTTAAGAGAAAGTTTGAGATGCATGAGACATTAAGACATTCCAATTTTTTAGAATGAAAAGGGAAATGTAATCAAACAATCAAAAACGTGTTCATCCATCTTTTCACTCATACATATAGTTCAGTGATCTAATAGATATAAAATATAACTGATCCTTAGAATCAAAGATGACAATTGGATGCAATTTAAGATATAGATTTATATGTTAATATAATTTTCCATTTTATTTGTGAGGAAGTAATGTATTTTTGCAGAAAACAAAAGGGTTATAGAGACATTGGCACGTGTGAATGTTTGTGCTTATTAGAAACTTTCAGAACAGAACAGAAGGGGGCGACTTTTCTCCATTTAAACTCTCTACAGTGGGTACGGATAGTATTCAGACCACTTTTCAGTCTTTGTTTCATTCCAGCCATTTGCTAAAATCAATAAAGTTTATTTTATTTATTATTAATGTACACTCAGCACCCCATCTTGACAGAAAAAAACAGAAATGTAGAAACTGAGGTCAATTTATTAAAAAAGAAAAACTGAAGTTTTTGCATTTTTTGCATTTATTTTTGTGTATGCGTTTTTTGCACCATGGTTTTTCTCCTACGCTGTTTACACTTGATCACTGCTGCACTTTGGAAATGTTCATTTACAGTCTGAAAAGCTCTACAAAATGAAATGTCTTATTGTATACATACACTCTAAAAAAAATGACAATAAAAGTTTTCTTAATATCACATTGTCATAGGTATTCAGACCCTTTGCTCAGTATTAGGTAGAAGCACCCTTTGATTTAGTACAGCCATGAGTCGTCTTGGGAATGATGCAACAAGTTTTTCCACACCTGGATTTGGGGATCCTCTGCCATTTTTCCTTGCAGATCCTCTCCAGTTCTATCAGGTTGGGTTTAGGTCAGGGCTCCGGCAGGGCCAGTCAAGAATGGTCACAGAGTTGTTCCCAAGCCACTCCTTTGTTATTTTAGTTGTGTTCTTAGGGTCATTGTCTTGTTGGAAGATGAACCTTGGACCCAGTCTGAGGTCCTGACCAATCTGGAAGAGGTTTTCTTCTAGGATATCTTTGTACATCACCCTAAGCACAGGTTCCCCTTAGGGCTGCATCCTGAGCCCCCTGCTGTTCACCCTGATGACACACGACTGGGTCCCCAGGTTCACCACCAATCACATCGGGAAGGGGACAGACGACACCACAGTTGTGGGCCTCATCAGAGAAGACAACGAGAAGGACTACAGAGAGGAGGTTGAGCAGCTGGTTGGCTGGTGCAGAGATAACAGCCTGATCCTGAATGTGGAGAAGACGAAGGAGATCATTGTCGACTTCAGGAAGAACCGGCCCCCACCCCACCCATCCTCACCACCTTCTACAGAAGCACCATAGAGAGCGTTCTGACCAGCTGTCTTGCTGTGTAATGTGGAGGCTGCAGCGCCTCAGACCGGAAGAAGATGAGAAGTGTGGGGAGAACTGCAGAGAAGATCATCGGTGCTCCTCTTCCCTCCATAAAAGACATTTCATCCCAGTGCTAACATCATAAATGACCCCTTACACCCCCACCATGGACTGTTCTCCCTACTGCCCTCTGGAGAGAGACTTCAAAGCATCCGATGCAGGTCCAGCAGATTCCAGAACAGGTTTTTCCCCACTGTCATTAGACTGCTGAATGTTGTATAAAATGGGATTATGTATATATTTAAAAAAACCTGAGTGTTGGAAACTGTAACAAATATATAGTCGTATGTTTACATGTTTCACTGCTGCTTACCTTTTATCTCTGCGGCACTTAAAAGAAATAGAAAGGAAAATAAAAATGTCTTGAGAGCTGTACTGAACAAAATGTATTTTTGTATATACTTTGTGTGTACAAAATGACAATAAAGTCTAAGTCTGCAGCTGAAAAACACCTCCATGGCACAGTGTTGCAACCATGTCTCACTGTCGGGGTTGTACTGGGCAGGTGATGAGCAGTGCCTGGATTTCTCCTCACATACCACTTAAAATTAACACAAAAAAGTTCAATCTTGGTCTCATCAGACCACAGAATCTTCTTTCTCATAGTCTGGGAGTCATTCATGTGTTTTTTGCACATAAGGCCCCGGCTGGTGGAGGGCTGTAGTGATAAGTGACTTTGTGTAACTTTCTTCCATCTACCTACTGCATCTCTGGAGCTCAGTCACAGTGATCCTTGGGTTCTTCTTTCCTCTCTCACCAAAGCTCTTCTCCCACGATTGCTCAGTTTGTCTGGATGGTCAGGCTCTTTCCTTGGCCCTCATGATTCACGTTTGCTCTGGCATGCACTGTGAGCTGTAAGGTCTTATCTAGATGGGTGTGTGCATCTCCTAATAAGTCAAGTCAGTTTAATTAAACACAACTGGACTCCAATGAAGGAGCAGAACAATTCCAAGGAGGATCAGAAGAGATAGACAGCATGTGAGTTTAATATAAGTATTACAGCAAAGGGTCTGAATACTTAAGACGATTTTATATTTCAGTTTTTATTTATTATTTTTTGATAAATTTGCAAACATTTCTTCATTTCTGTTTTTTACTGTCAAGATGGGCTGCTGAACAAAGAGTATATATATATATATATATCTATACATCTCTCTCTATATATATATATATATATATATATATATATATATATATATATATATATATATATATATATATATATATATATATACATATATATATACATATATATATATATATATATATATATATATATATATATATATATAGATAGATAGATAGATAGATAGATAGATAGATAGATAGATAAAAATATGATTTTGTATGAAATTAAGCAAAATTCTGCTTCATATCCACCAGTAAGTACTTTTGCAATAAACACAACTAATTTTTTTATATTTTTATTAATTACCTGCTCTTTCCTGCTCAATGATCTTTACCTAAAGCATGAACACAAATGAGGATTATTTAATATGTTGCTGCATGTAAATTTAAAATCATACATGTAAGAAGAGGACATAGTTATAATTTATTTTTTCTCTAAGGCACTGGTTGCCTTTATTTTGTTCTTTTTTTTTAAAGTAGGCAGTTAGGAAATGGGATAAGAGAGATTCCAGGCTGTGAATCAAACCTCTGATGGCTGCATTGAGGACCAACGCCTCTGTAAATGGTTGTTCACTTAACCCCTGCACCCCCAACATGATCCACATATATATTCTTAACACTTGGAATTAAAACAGCTGGGGGGAAAAACAAACACAATGTATATAACTACCTTACTGCGCATAAACCTTGAGATTTACACAACAACCACATCCTGAGGCTGTTGCTCTGAAAACGAAACCATGATTGCATAATAATCCTTCGTTTTTATTTTATGTTTGGACTATGGGCGTTATGTCTTTTATTAAACAAAACCAAACTGTGGTAACCCCCTCTATGACCTTTGGCAAAGTTTTGTCAGTTCCTCTTATGGATTTCTTTCCTTAGTGATTTTTTTATGCTACTCGTTTGTGCAGTACACAAGTTCCCAGTCTGTTAGTCTAAGTGGATAGGCATTTCTTGGCAGGTTTTAAGTTGTATCATGGTCTATTTTCAAACGATTGTTTCAGCTAGCATCTTTTAGATGTTTAAAGCTTAGGATATTATTTTAGGACCAATTTTTTTTTCGACAGTGTGGAAAGTATTTCTTTCTGTGAAATCTTTAAGGACATTTATCATGCGTACTGTTTTTAATTCAATTGTTGAGTTTCGGTTTATTTTTGTAAAAGTTCAAATAAATCTGAAAGAATTCAAAAGCATAGG